GACATCAAATATAGTGAAAGCAGGGGTTGTACTGTGGGGGAGGGACATACAAAGCTACAAAGAAATAATCATAAATGAGTTAGAAACAAATGCATGAAAGAAAAAAACATTTAAATACTTATCTAAGGGTTCATTTTCCTAACATCACATTATCTGAATATTTTTTTAATTGTGAAAATACCATACAGTGGGGTTACAATTACATGGGCAAGATAATGAGTACATTTCTTATCAAGCATTGTTGCCTCTTCCTTTGTTTCCCCTTCCCATCCCTTCCCATACCCCGCCTCCCTGCCCCCAGAATATTTGTTTTAAAATGTAATATAGTTTTAAATTACACAGTCTCAAAAAATCTTGTAGAATGTGAAGAAATATAAAAGAAGAAATAAAAATCACTCATAACTTACTTTACTCTGACATTTCATAAAATTTGCATTAGAACATTTCTGTATAGATGTCTAATTTAACATTTCAACAATGTGCTTACAAAGTCCAGGCTCCTTTTTTCACCTAAGATTACAATATACATACTCTCCCATATTGTTAAAATATGTTGTTAAATATATGTTGTAGCCAGGTGCCAGTGGCTCATGCCTGTAATCCTAGCTACTCAGGAGGCTGAGATCTGAGCCACCATTCCATGCCGGCTCCAGCAGAAAAGTCCCCATGAAACTCTTTATCTCCAATTAACCACTCAAAAACCAAAAGTGGCACTGAGACTCAAGTGGTAGAGTGCTAGTCTTGAGTGCAGAGAAGCTCAGCGACAGCACCCAGACCCTAAGTTCAAGCCCCACAACTGACAAAAAAAAAAAGGTGTTGTAAGCATACTTTTTAGTATAATCTGACATGAAGTTTCACTAAAGCAGTCATAGTATTGGGCATATAAATACATACCATGTTGTAGACTAATCTTATTTGAAATACATGAATGAAAATAGATCTCATTGAATTATGAAGAAAAAAATCTGAACCTCCCAATAATAAATAGTAATGACTGAATAGTAAAAAAATGTTTCAGCAGCCAAGTGCTGATGGCACACACCTTATAATCCTCTCTACTCAGGAGACTGACATCTGAGGAGACTGGTTTGAAGCCAGACCTGGCAATCAAATCAAGAGACTCTTATGTCCAATTAACCAGCACACTGCCTAGTGTTTTTTTTTAATCTATATTTTAATTTTTTTTGGTTTTGTTTTTGGTATGGTCCTAGGGCTTGAACTTGGGGCTTGGGTGCTGTCCCTAATTGGGGCTTGGGTGCTGTCCCTAACCTTTTTTGCTCAAGACTAAATATTCTACCATTTGAGCCACAGCTCTACTTCCAGCTTTTTTGGTGCTTAATTGGAGATAAGAGTCTCACAAACTTTCCTGCCTCTGCTGGCTTCAAACCATGATCCTCCAATCTCAGCCTTCTGAGTCACTAGGATTGCAGCCACTGGCATCCAGCAATATTTTCAATATTAAAGAGTAAACATATAATGGCATATATTTCAATATTATAGCACCACAGAAATCCTTGAGCCATGAAGTGAGTGAGTTGACATCAAGTAGGTTATTAAAGTTGGAGATGGAAAACCAAAGTTTGACAAAAACTGTAGAAGAGCTTCGGAGTACTATGGATTCTGTAGAAGACACCACTTCCAAAATACTGAAAATTGAAAAAGAAAATCAAAGACTGAATAAAAAGGTAAATAAAAATGTAATGTTTATTTTAATGTTAAGTATATGCAGATATAAATAAGTAGCATACTTATTTTCTGTTTTTAAAATATCCTTAATATTTTTTGGGGGGGGGTCCGGTCCTGGGGCCTGAACTGTGGGCCTGGGCGCTGTCCCTCAGCTCTTCAGCTCAAGGCTAGCGCTCTACCACTTGAGCCACAGTGCCACTTCTGCTTTTTTCTGCTTATGTGGTGCTGAGGAATCGAACCCAGGGCCTCATGCATGCAAGGCAAGCGCTCTACCACAGAGCCACCTACCCAGCCCTCCTTAATATTTTTTAACTTACCATAGAATTTTTTTACACTTTATGTAGTGAAACCCTGTACCAGTTATTGTTAGAACTGTTAACTTATAATGTTACCTCATTTGTACTCCTGCCTATCTTGTCTATACCAGAATGATCCTGAAGCAAATCCTAGACAGCATATTATTCATCATCAAGATAACTGATACATCTATACACACATTCACAAAGTAAGGAATGTTTTTCAAGGACAGTGTCATCACATCTAAGAGCCAGGTGCTCATGGCTCACACCTGTAATCATAGCTACTCCAGGAAGCTAAGATCTGAGGATCATGGTTTAAAGCCAGCCTGGGCAGGAAAGTTCATGAGACTCTTATCTCCAGTTAACTGCCAAAAGCCTGCCATATCTCAAGTGGTAGAGCAGTAGCCCTGAGTAGAAAAATTCACAGACAAAATCCAGGCCCTGAGTTCAAGCACCAGTACCAGGATCAAAAAACCAAAACAGAAAATTTCAGAACAAAAAAAACCTGTTGGCTTAAATAAGAGTATTAATAATTACTCACAGGGACAGCTTATGTAAGAAAAACAATGTTTCTTTTCCCTTATTTTCCAGTTTCCATGTTAGGAATTGGTTCTCCCATGCATGCAAGGCAAGCGCTCTACCACTAAGCCACCTTCCCAGCCCACATGCACATAATTTTGTACAAATAGAATCTTACCTCAGAGGGCTGGGATGTAGCTCAGTAGCAAAGTGCTTGCCTAGCAAGTGCAACATCCTGGGTTCAATCTCCAGTACCCGCCACCTCCTCCTCAACCCCACCCCCCAAAAAAGACACACACACAAAAAAGAAAATAATCTTACCTCAGAAACATATATAACTATGAATTCTTCTTCTTCTTCTTCTTCATCATCATCATCATCATCATCATGGGACTTGAACTCTGGGCCTGGGCACTGTCCCTCAGCTCTTCAGCTCAAGGTGAACACTCTACCACTTGGAGCCACAGCACCACTTCCAGTTTTCTTGTGGTTAATTAGAGATAAGAGTCTCATGGACTTTCCTCCCTGGGTTGGCTTTCAACAGCAATCCTCAGATCTCAGCCTCCTGAGTAGCTAGGATTGCAAGTCTGAGCTTCCAGTACCCAGCAACTATGAAATGAGTTTTTTCTCTTTCTCTTTCTTTTTTTCCAGTCCTGGGGCTTGAACTCAGGGTCTGGACACTGTCCCTGAGCTTCTTTAGTTCAAGGCTAGCACTCTACCATTTGAGCCACAGGCACTACTTCCAGCTTTTTCTGTGTATGTGGTGCTGAGAAATCAAACCCAGGGCTTCACGCAAGCACTCTACACTAAGCCACATTCCCAGCCCCAACTATGAATTCTTGGATCTTTGTTTCTGAGAAGTTGCTAGGTAATGGTCATTTTTGCTGCCCTGGAACTATGCTTTAAGAACCACTGTCTTAGGTTCCTGGATATTTTTTCAAGATTTTTAATATTTCCTTTAACATGTGAGACTTTGGGGGAATAATAAAGGTTCAAATTATAACATTTTGGTCTTTTAAAATTATGTGGTTTAAATAGGTTACATAGTAATAAAATTATCTACAGTTTGACATTCCTTTAGCTTGAAATTGCTATTCTGTGCTTATCACCATTATTATTGTATCTTTAAAATATACCAATCCAATTTAGAGATAGAGGTGTACCTCAGTGGCAAAATGCTTAAATTAAAAATATTGTTAATTTAATAATTGCTTTATGTTTTGACAGTTTGCCTCCTGGAAAATATTTAATGTATTGTTTTGTGATTTTCTTTTTCTTTAGGTTGAAGTTCTTGAAAGTGAGATTATTCAAGAAAAGCAAAGTCTTCAGAATTGTCAAAATTTAAGCAAGGATCTAATGAAGGAAAAAGCTCAGCTCGAAAAAACAATTGAAACACTTAGAGAAAATTCAGAGAGACAGGTTCATTAATTTTTTTACTTCAAATAATGTATTTTAAAATTATTGCCAGAAGTTATTTTAAAATAAGCACAAACAAAAAATTCCTATAGCATGAAAGGGATTTTTTTTTTAATTTTAAAGTGGTTTATTATCCCGGGTCATCTGCCACCACACCACCCCTCAAGCAAGAATCCCTTGCTTGTAGTTACAACAGATGAAAAATTTTAAATGGAAAGCTCCAAAACTTAATAATTGTTAAGTTTTAAATAGGATACCATTTTGAGTAGTTGAAATTTCAAGATTTCCTGCTCACTCCTTTCTAGAATATGAATCATCCCTTTGCCAAGCATAGTTGTGCTATATATACTATCTACTTATAATCATTAATTAGCTTCATGGTTATCACATGTCTATCTATGATAAAATTTCAGTGTTCATATTCAGGTCACCCAAAATTGTAAGAGTAGTGATATAAGCAATTCACATATATTTAAGAAACCCATTAAGTACTTCCTTTAAATAAAGATCTTGATCTGATAAGGAAAAGAAGTATGTTCAAATTGTGAAAATATCCAGTCATTTACTGTTAACCTCTTATTGTGCCTAATTTATACATTAAATGTTATCATTGGTAAATGTATATAAGAGAAAACATGATAAATACAAGGTTTTCATACTAGTCACAGTTTCATTTATCTACTAGAGATCTTAGAGCATACTCCTCATGGATAAGGAGGGACTATTATATAATTTAACCTCATTTCCTACTCCATGGATTTTTGGACATTTAAGAGAAATCATAGAATTTTTTAAAATTGCCAGCATTCTTAATAACAATCCAGTATAAAATTTGTCAGCACCTCTGCTTTCCAGTGTCTAAAGTCCCTTAGTTGAGTTAGAAAGAAATGCAGCTGTACACTGACACTACTAAAGCAGAAGAAGTGTGGCAGCAGCCTGTATCTTGGATGCTATTGAATTTGCTTTCAGCTGTTTATTGGTTGCTATTTTTGAAGAAACAAAATTGAGTAGATTGGGTGCATTTTTCTCTATAGAGTATAGAATAAAAATTTTGAAGAATACATCTTTCATAAACTTCCTAGGATTAGTGAACATATTAAATTTTGAGACCCGTTATACTGGTATCAATTAGATGAATTTGTTATCAGATGTATCAGATTATTTTATTTGTTAAATGTTGACTAATTAGAGTTCTTTTTAAGAATGAATATACAGTGTATACATTGTGAGGATCCTTTATATTACAGGCATTGCAAAAAATTTTTAATGGAAATTAAAACATACATCTTCAAAGAGATGTGTCCATGTTTCCCACTCTACATTTATAGTTGAATTTAAAACATCTATAAAAAATCTGAACATCATTTTAATAATAAGTGCAAACCAGGCATTGGTGGCTCATGCCTGTAACCCTAGCTACTGAGGAGGCTGAGATCTGAAGATTGCAATTCGAAGTCAGCCCATGAAGAAAAGTCCCCAAGATTATCATCTCCAATTAACCACTCAAAAAGCAGGAATTGAAGGCATGTCTCAAGTGGTAGAATATCAGCCATGAGTAGAAAAACTGAGCCAAGAGCAAGAGGCCCTGAGTTCAAGCTCCAGTCCTGGCACAGAAAAAAATAATAATAATAGTAAATGAATGTCTGTTAGCTATTCATTCAGACTGTGAACTCTCTAAGGAATGACCTGACAGCCCCTGAGTTCAAGCCCCACGACTGGCAAAAAAAAAAAAAAACCCAAAAGAATGACCTGACAATACATATGCAAAGTGATCTTTCAGTAAGTATTTGTCAGAATTCAAAGTAAGGCATATTGTAGTATTACATCCTCTAGCACTAGGGAATTTGTGTTTCTGGAAGGTAAAAACTATAATTCACAATAGTGATTTTGCTCATTACAATTTTAAATTTTCTTGTTTATGTTTTTTGAATTAGATTAAAATACTGGAACAGGAAAATGAACATCTGAATCAAACAGTGTCTTCCTTAAGGCAGCGTTCTCAGATAAGTGCTGAAGCAAGGGTAAAAGACATTGAAAAAGAAAATAAAATTCTCCACGAATCTATCAAAGAAACAAGTAGCAAGCTAAGCAAGATTGAATTTGAAAAAAGGCAAATTAGAAAAGAATTGGAACATTATAAAGAAAAAGGAGAACGAACAGAAGAACTTGAAAGTGAGTTGCATCATCTTGGAAAAGAAAATGAATTGTTGCAGAAAAAAATAACCAATTTAAAAATTACTTGCGAAAAAATTGAGGCCTTAGAACAAGAAAATTCAGAGCTAGAAAGAGAAAATAGAAAGTTTAAAAAAACACTGGATAGTTTTAAAAACCTTACTTTTCAGTTAGAATCCTTAGAAAAAGAAAATTCCCAACTTGATGAAGAAAACTTAGAACTTCGAAGAAATGTGGAGTCTTTGAAGGGAGCAAGCATGAAAATGGCTCAGCTACAACTAGAAAACAAAGAGCTAGAAAGTGAAAAAGAACAACTTAAGAAAGGTTTAGAGCTCATGAAAGCATCTTTCAAGAAAACAGAACGTTTGGAAGTTAGCTACCAGGGATTAGATACAGAAAACCAAAGGCTACAGAAAGCTTTGGAAAATAGCAATAAAAAAATCCAACAATTAGAAAGTGAACTACAAGACTTAGAGATGGAAAATCAAACATTGCAAAAGAACCTAGAAGAATTGAAAATATCTAGCAAGAGATTAGAACAGCTTGAAAAAGAAAATAAATCATTAGAGCAGGAAACATCTCAGCTGGAAAAGGATAAGAAACAACTGGAGAAGGAAAACAAGAGACTCCGACAACAAGCAGAAATAAAAGATATTACCTTAGAAGAAAATAATGTGAAGATTGGAAATTTGGAAAAAGAAAACAAAACTCTTTTTAAAGAAATTGGTGTATATAAAGAATCTTGTGTTCGTCTCAAAGAATTAGAAAAGGAAAATAAAGAGCTTGTGAAAAGAGCAACTATTGATGTAAAAACTTTGGTTACATTACGTGAGGTAAGCATACCTACCAAAATTTTAAAAATAATTTCTATGTTTTTAGTCCAATATTTTAAGTTTCATTGGAAACATGAGTAATTCCTTTTGATGGTTCAGCAGAACTTGGAAACTACTTTCTAGGTTTCTACTTCAGTTAAAATAAAAGTAAATTTAAATTGAATGTCTCAAGATTTGTAGTATTAAGGGTCTTTGGGGTATCTGATTTATTACACCTTAATTTTAATCTCTGATTTCAAAAATAATATTAAAATATTTGATCAAGCCAGATGCTGGTACCTCACACCTCTAATTATAACTACTCAGGAGGCTGAGATTTGTTAACCCCAGCTGAAGGAGGAAAGTCCATGAGATTTTTTTTCTACAGTTAACCACCAAGTGAAGCTATGGCATAAGAGCAAACAGCCTTGAGTGAAAAAACTAAGGGACTAGGTGTACCTGGGCCCTGAGTTCAAGCTCCAAAAAAAAAATCTTAAAATATAAGTTGTAATTATCTGTGTTCTTAAAATTTTCACAACCAATCCTTTTTAAGTGTTTTATCTCCATTTTTCGTATTAGTAAGCAGATTCTAAACATGAAGTTACTTACTCAATATAGTTTATAAATAGCAAAGTTCAGTTTTTTCATTCAAACACAAATCTTCTACATTCCAAAATTTGTTGAGTTTTTAAAAGCCAGAGACTGCAAACCAGGTTCTACTTAAAAATGAGCACTGAAAAAATAGTAGTTTCTTGGATTCATGTATTGAGAACCTAAATTTTACAAAATTAGATTGGCAATATGTCCTGTGAAACATGCTGAATACAAATAAGAAGATATGTTTGGATTTTTTAAACCATCTTTATGCAATACAATATGTGATAAACTTTTAAGTCTATTTAAAAAGTATCTCAGAGGCAGGCCCTGGTGGCTCAGGCCTGGAATCTTAGCTACCCTACTCAGGAGGCTGAGATTGAAGGATCTCATTTTGACGCCATCCCAGGCAGGAAAGTCTGTGTGACACTTTATCTCCAGTTAAGCATCAGAAAAGCTGGAATGGAGCTCTGTGGCTCAAGTGGTAGAGCACTAGCCTTGAGCAGAAAAGCTCAAGGATAGCACCCAGGCCCTGAGTTCAAGCCCAGGGACAAACACACAAGTATCTCAGGGCAGGAAGTGTAACCCACTCAGGCTTTGCATGCATGAGTTCTGGATTTAATTCCCAACAGTTTGTAAAATTAAAATAATGTTAAAATCTTAGCTTGCTGACAGAAAGGCACATTTCTGCTATAACATAGCAGAAATGTACATTTCTGCTACAGATGTATTAAAAGGGAGTTTTCATTTTTTCTTTCTGTTGTTCTGTAGTCTTACAAACATGAACAATAGTTTTCTTAGGCCCAAACTTCCAAAACTGCCCAATCTTAAGCCACTTTCTCCCAAGAGAAGGAAAGAGCTTTGTGGTAGAATGAGGAGTATTATATTCAACATATATCTTTTTTTTTTTGGGGGGGGGTCCAGTCGTGGGGCCTGAACTCTGAGCCTGGGCGCTGTCCCTCAGCTCTTCAGCTCAAGGCTAGCGCTCTACCACTTCAGCCACAGCGTCACTTCCGGCCTTTTTTCTTTTTGCTTATGTGGTGCTAAGGAATTGAACCCAGGGCCTCATGCATGCAAGGCAAGTGCTCTACCACTGAGCCACCTTCCCAGCCCCTCAACATATATCTTTAGGAAGAAATGTGTACTAAAGTCTAAATGGAGAAGTGGGTTTATTTTTTTCTTCATACTTTTCAAACGGCAGGTGTGTTTTTCTAAGTGTGGAGTTTCCCTCAATTAGTTTTTAACATTATGATTAAAAAGAAGTAGTAGCACAAAAAAAGCAGGGAAAAAGTCCATTTCAACCGGAATATAATATGGGAAACTTAATTATTGTCTAATAGTTGTTTATGTAGATGTGGCTCTGTCCTATAGTACTTGTCTACATTCCCAAGGCTCTGGTTCAATCCCCCTTTCCAAACTCAACAAATCAAAAAACCAAGAAAAGAAAAAAGGAAGGTTTAATGATAACATTTCTACCTCTCCTGGTTCAAAATTGCCTTCCTGGATAAAAGTAATGGGAATCTTGACTTATTTTCTGAGATGTCAGATTCTTGACATATAATTGAGTTGTGTGTTCTTTTGAAATAAGGATTTGGTGAGTGAAAAATTGAAGACTCAACAAATGAACAATGATCTTGAGAAATTAACTCATGAGCTTGAGAAGATAGGGTTAAATAAAGAGCGACTCTTACATGATGAACAAAGTACTGATGACAGGTGAGTACAAACTGGCAAACAGTTGGAATTATCATTCCAACTATTTATTACTGAGGGTTTTTTGTTTTTACTTAATCAGTAACTTCTTCCTCTAATAGCTGTAAAAGCACATTATGTCCTTCATACTCTTTATTGTTGTTGTTTTTGTCAGTTGTGGTACTTGAACTCAGGGCATGAACACTGTCCCTGAGCTCTTTTGCTCAAGGCTAACATTCTACCACTTAGAGCCACAGTTCCACTTCTGGTTTTCTGGGGGTTAATCTCGTGGACTTTCTTGTCCAGGCTGGTTGAACCCCAGTCCTCAGATATCAGCTTCCCGAGTAGCTAGGATTATAGGCATGAGCCACTAATGCCCAGCTGTAGCTAGTTCTTTTCTTCCCTTACAGAAAGATATATAAGAAAAAAAAAAGAGAAACTAATACTTATGTAAGAAAAAAAATCTTATATAAGTACAATTACAAACTAGAAAACAAGAGCCACCTAGGTAACAGAGATTTGAGACTGTAATTGCCTGTGAATAAAATATCAACAGTGAACAATCATTCAGGAAATACAGTTAGGCATTTTATTTTTCATTTATGGACTTAAGAAATGTAGGGAGAGGGACTGGGAAGGTGGTTCAGTGGTAGAGCGTTTGCCTTGCATGCATGAGGCCCTGGGTTCCATTCCTTTGCACCACATAAGTAGAAAAAAAAAAGCCGGAAGTGGCGCTGTGGCTCAAGTGATAGAGTGCTAGCCTTGAGCTGAAGAACTGAGGGACAGCACCCAGGCTCAGAGTTCACACCCCACGACCAGATACCCCCCCCCAAAAAAAAGAAGGTCCAAGGCCCTGATTTCAAACTCCAGTACTGACAAAAAATAAAAATAGACTTTTGGGGCTGGGAAGGTGACTCAGTGGTAGAGCACTTGCCTTGCATGCCTGAGGCCTTGGGTTCGATTCCTCAGCACCACATAAGCAAAAAGAAAAAAAGCCGGAAGTGGCGCTGTGGCTGAAGTGGTAGAGCGCTAGCCTTGAGCTGAAGAGTTGAGGGACAGCGCCCAGGCCCAGAGTTCAGACCCCATGACCGGACCCCCCCCCAAAAAAAAAGAAATGTAGGGAGAAGTTGGAAGCATGGCTCAGTTGGTAGAGTGCCAGCCAGTGAGCAAAAGTGTCAGGTATAGAGTTTGAGTTCAGGCTCAGACCTAAAAAGAAAAAAAAAGGAGGGAAAATATGAAATAAAATATATTGATATAATTAAAGTATGAGAAAAATGAGGGATTGAACAACAGGATAAAAAATAGCTGATACACTTTCATCAAGGCTAGCACTCTACCAATTTAGCCACAGTTCCACTTCTAGCATCTTGATGTCTAACTACAGAAAAGCCTCACAGCCTTTTCTTCCTGGGTTGGTTTCAAACTGGGATCCTCAGATCTCAGCCTCTTTGAGTTACTAACATTACAAGCATGAGCCATTAGTCCCTGGCTTTAACATACATTTATTTATATTTATTTAGCCAGTCCTGGGACTTTTAACTCAGGGCCTAGGAACGGAGCAACTTTTGCTCAAGGCTTGCACTTGAGCCACAATGCCACTTCCAGCTTTTTCTGTTGATGTGTACTGAGGGATTAAACCCTGGGCTTCACACACACCAGGCATTCTACCACTAAGCCACATCCCCAGACCTGACATATATTTTAATTTAAAAATAATTAATGGAGATTTAAAGAAAATTTGTTATGCCATGGTAAATCTAGTCTACCAACTAGGATTAATTTGATTTTCCAGTGGGCTACTACTTAGCATCTAGTGACCTACAAGATTCTATTTAGAGGGCTGGGAAGGTGGCTCAGTGGTAGAACTCTTGCCTGGCATGCATGAGGCCCTGGGTTCGATTCCTCAGCAGCACATAAGCAGGAAAAAAGCCGGAAGTGGTGCTGTGGCTCAAGTGGTAGAGTTCAGGCCCACGACCGGACCCCCTCCCAAAAAAAGATTCTATTTAGAATAAAAGTTTTATATGGTTAGTATTGTTTTGGTTGAGCCTAGTGGCTCATGGCTAGAATACCAGCTACTCAAAAAGTAGAAATTGAGGGCTGGGAAGGTGGCACAGTGGTAGAGTGCTTGCCTTGCATGCCTGAGGCCCTGGGTTCGATTCCTCAGCACCACATATACAAAAAAATAAAGCCAGAAGTGGTGCTGTGGCTCAAGTGGCAGAGCGCTAGCCTTGAGCTGAAGAGCTGAGGGACAGTGCCCAGGCCCAGAGTTCAGGCCCCATGACCGGACCCAAAAAAAAAAAAAAGTAGAAATTGAGCCTGGCTCATGCCTGTAATCCTAGCTACTTAGGAGGCTGACATCTGAGTATCACGGTTCAAAGCCAGCCTGGGCAGGAAAAGCTGTGAAACTCTTGTCTCCAATAAATTACCACAAAACCGGAAGTGGTGCTGTGGCTCAAGTGGTAGAGCACTAGCCTTGAGCTGACGAGCTGAAGGACAGTGCTCAGACCCAGAATTCAAGCCCCATGACTGACCAAATAAAAAACAAACAAACAAACAAAGTAGAAATTAGTAGGATCGCATTGCAAGCTAGCAAAAGCCCCTATTTCAAACAAAGTAGAAATTAGTAGGATCGCATTGCAAGCTAGCAAAAGCCCCTATTTCGATCAGTAAGCCAGGTGTGGTGGTATATTCTGTGATCCTAGCTACACAGGAGGCCACAGGTAAGATTGTGAGCTGAAGCTGGCCTTAATAGAAACTCTACCTAAAAATCATTAACGCAGAAAAAAGGGACAAGGGTTTTGCTCAACTGATGAGTAGTACCAGCCTTGCAGGCATGAAATCTTCAGTTCAAACTTCACTATCATATTGTATAGTCTAGATATTAATTAATTGGAATTTTTGATATAATTTATTATTTATCCATTATATCAGTTATATCATCCATTATCCATTATATCAGTTAGAGAAAATTGATACTTACATAGTTTGAGATAGACAAAATAGTATAAATTGATGCTTAGAAAGGCTAGGTTGCCAGGTGCCGGTGGCTCGCCTGTAATCCTACTCATCTACTCAGTGGGCTGAGATGTGAGAATTGCGGTTCAAAGCCAGCCCCAGCAGAAAGGTCCATGAGAGTCTTTTCTCCAGGTAGCCACCAGAAAAACAGAAGTGGTGCTGTGGCTCAAGTGGTAGAGTGCTCACCTTGAGCTGAAGAGCTCAGGGACAGTGCCCAGACCCAGAGTTCAAGTCCCACAACCATTAAAAAAAAAAAAGAGAAAAAGAAAAAAAGAAAGACTAGATCTTTTTTTGTTCTTGTTCCAATCCTGGGGCTTGAATTCAGGGCCTGGATGCTGTCCTTGAAAAAAAATTTTTTTGTCAGTCATGGGGCTTGAACAGTCAGAGGCGCTGTCCCTGAGCTTTTCAGCTCAAGGCGAGCACTCTACCTTTTGAGCCACAGCACCATTTCTGTTTTTCTCACAATAACTGGAGATAAGTGAAGTAAGATAGACCCAAAGAAACATAGGTCCCATGGTTTCCCTTATTTTTATGCGTCTAGTATAATCTTACCAGACAAGTAGAAAAGCTTAAAAGCTATGTATATATGACCATATAAGATGATGCAAAGCAAAATGAACCCCAAGATATGGACACAAGAGGTTTTTGCTTTGTCACTGTTATTTTTAATGTACTATGTGATTTTGTTTCTTTCGTATATTCTTCCCCATTGTATAAATCTTGTGTTTGATTCCGGTGCCCTGCATCTTGTATTTTTCTAATTTGGAGAGTGGAAGGGAAATAACAAAATGCTGGAAGAACGATACAGGAAGCCCATTGTAACAATGAGATGTACAAGACGCTATGTTGAAAACAAGCTTTACAACTTGGGGGAGGTGGGGAGGGAAGGAAGATAGTAGGAGAAAAACAAATGAAGAGGTAACAGTCCTCGATAAGAAATGTACTCATTACCTTACTCATGTAACTGTACCCTCTGTACAGTATGTTTACATTTTTTTTTAAAGTTTCACCTACTTTCTGCCCGGGCTGGCTTTGAACCATGATCCTCAGATCTTAGCCTCCTGAGTAGCTAGGATTACAAGTGTGAGCCACTGGCACCCAGCAAGGCTAGGTCTTAATAAAGAGAAGTTTTAGATATTAAAGTCAGGCTACCATTATTAACACTACAGGTATTTCATGTGGTCATACGTCATTTAACTAGAAAGTTAAATGCTAATTTGGTTGGTTACCTTTCAATATATGTAATAATATCAGGTATTAATCTGGTAAATATTGAGATATGCTATATATTATATAGATACTTACATACTGTAAGCACTTTATTGCCCAGTGACAATCTTCACTGAGTGTTAGGTTGGTTTATACATTGTCATAGGCAAATTTTTGATGATAAAATGAATGAATCTATTTCCTTTCTCTTGATTTTAGTCATGTAAAACTATGATAAATATTTTTGGACTTAGACCTTAGACTTTTGGACTTAGATCCCATTTTTGAAAACTAATTGTTAGCCTTAGTGCCAGTACCAAGGCTTGAACTCAATCAGTGTCTTATGCTCTTGCTCAGCTTGCTTACAGCTGGCTCTCTACTATTTGAACTATGGCTCCAGTACCTAGGCTAGCCTTTGAATGCACTAAATATCTCAGGCTGGCTTACAAGCCTGCTTCAGCCTCTCAAGTGATGGGTTTACAGGCATGCACTATCTATTAATTACTTTCTGACAATCTAGGCTATAATTTGGAGCTCTATTTACTCACTGATTTATATTGCTTTCTGACCAGGAATAGTTTTAAAGAAGAAGTAGATCAGTACAAGAAAGCTAATTTAGCTGTGCCAGGGGTCATGTCTGTCATCCTAGCTACTCAGGAGGCTGAGATCTGAGGATCGCAATTTAAAGCCAGCCCAACCAGGAAAGACTTTTTTCCAGTTAACCACCAGAAAACCGGAAGGGAAGTAGTATTGTTTGTGGCTTCAAAGTGGTAGAACACTAGTCTTGAGATGAAGAGCTCAAGGAAGGCCATGGCCCAGAGTTCAAGCCCCATGATGGACAAAAAAAAAAAAAAAAGGAAGCTAATTTGCCTCTTAAAAGGGCTTCTATATGACTCATTTATCAGTATTTGTTGTCATAAATTGTCTTTGAAAACAATTCTCTGACTTCTGTTGATGAACTATATTACTTCTTTACTTGGACAGTAGGTACAAACTTTTGGAATCAAAGTTAGAATCTACTCTTAAGAAATCTCTTGAAATAAAAGAAGAAAAAATTGCTGCATTAGAAGCTCGATTAGAAGAATCCACAAATTATAACCAGCAATTGCGACAAGAACTTAAAACAGTAAGTGACTTTTTTCAAAATAATTTTAACTATAATTTATCTTAAAACTATTTGGACAGAAAAGTATAAAATGGAATATAAAAGTTTAAACATTTTACTCAGATTTAGTCAGTCCTTTTCAGAAACTTGAGCATATTATTAAACAAATCTTTACAATATGGATATGACATCTATATGCTATAATGTATTCAGTATTTGATAAGGGATAAAGGTCCCTTTTACATTTTTTCATTAGGAAAACTTACTGTGATACTGACAGCTTACTCTGGCATTATTTTCTATTGAAAACTGAGGTAAAGCCGGGCGCCGGTAGCTCACACCTGTAATCCTAGCTACTTAGGAGGCTGAGATCTGAGGATCACAGTTCAAAGCCAGCCCGAGCAAGAAAGTCCATGAGATTCTTATCTCTGATAAACCACTAGAAAATCAGAAGTGGCACTGTGGCTCAAGCGGTAGAGCACATAGGGACAGCGCCCAGACCCAGAGTTCAAGCCCCACAACCAACAAAAAAAAACAAAAAAATTGAGGTGAAATTTTGGTAAGCAAACATAGGCCTAATGAGTATACCACAAAAAGGGAAGTGTGGTTACAGAAGCAATTATTTTATTTCTAGATCAGTTTTCTTGTCTTTTTTTTTCTTTTGGGGAGCAGTTGTCATCTTCTTTTTTATGCTATTTAAAAACCAGTTTGGGATGAAAATTGTGTATTTAACTAGTAAGAAATGGCCTTTTCTAGAATTTTTGAATCTTTTTCTGATTGTTGAAATCTCAAAAATACATTGTTTTTTTGCTTTAAAAGTCCCAGATGCCCCTCAGTAGATGAATGGATCAAGAAAATGTGGTATATATACACAATGGAATTCTATGCCTCCATCAGAAAGAATGACATTGCCCCATTTGTTAGGAAATGGAAAGGCTTGGAAAAAATTATATTAAGTGAAGTAAGCCAGGCCCAAAGAAACAGGTCCCATGGTTTCCCTTATTTGCAATATCTAGTATATGTCTGAGTCAAGCAGAAAAGGTCAGATAAGGTGATGTTAGGGAAATTAACCCTAAGATATGTATTCAAATGTTTTTTTTTCTTTCATGCGATTGTTTCTAACACATTTATAAGATTATTTCTTTGTTGTTTTGTATGTCCCTCCCCCACAGTATAACCCCTGCTTTCACTGTATTTGATGTCGGTATAATTTGTGGAGGGGAAGGGGAAAAACAAGTCGTTTAAATAGGGATACAGGTGGACCCATTGCAACAATGAGATGTACAAGTCGTTATGTTGAAAACGAACTTTACAACTTTCGTGCGGGGGGTGGGGGAGAGGGGGGGATGGGAAGGGGAAACAAAGGAGGAGGCTACAATGCTTGATAAGAAATGTACTCATTATCTTGCCCATGTAATTGCAACTCCTCTTTACAGTATTTTCACAAAAAAAGTCTCAAGGTTTGTATTAAAATTTTCTTACTAGTTGAATAGAAGTTTTATATTTGAAATGTTTGTTTTATAAGTGGGGACAGTAGGAGGATGACAATCTGTTACAGAGAAAGGGATGCATTGAAGAATTTCAAGTAACTCACAGAAATCTTGCTGGAATAGTTGTATATTTAAGCTTAAACTATGTATGTTCAACCTAAACACGTTGATAATTCAAAAACTCCAGTTAGTGGTTACAAACAATGAGCTTAAAAGTAGATTACTATATTCAAATGACAGTATTTGTTCTAATTAGGTATGTTTTTCATATAGTGTTTAGAATTACTTTGTTTTTCTTATAGTGAATAAACTGAAACACAAGGTATTTGTCCATTCCATACAATGGTAGAATCTTGTTCTGGTTTATTTTTTCTTTCATTCTTTTCATTATCCCAATAGAGATCTTTTTTGGTCAACCAAGCATGTAGGCCACATACAGAACTTTTCAGTATACTGTAGGAAATAGAAGTAGATGGCAGGGCAAGGAAGAGAGTTCTCTTCATTGTCTGAAAATCATCTTTTCACTAGATATTTTTTCAGGTGAAAGAGGAGATTGACACTATATATGGAAGAAAGCTACCCTGGCTTTGAGACTCATACTTCACTGTAGTCATTACCTTTTGCAACTCTAAACGCGTAGATTTAATAAGATCAATATGGTGTACATTATAAGAGTTGCTGCATGCAGAGAAATTCAGTTATATGACTTTTCATTAAGTAATTGTAGTCCTCCAAGTCCAGATACAATTTATCAATCAGAGGTTATTTTTCTAGATGATGTATTTCCTAGTAACATTGAATATTTTGCTTTCATCATGCTTCTAAAGAAATAGTTAATCAAAGTATCAGTGATACGGTAGTGAGCACAAGTGCCTTCCGAAGTTAAATTTCTCATGTGGGAAGTAGAAAACTTATTTACACTATTGTTACTAATACTTGGCCACAGATTTTTTTTTTGAGGGGTCCGGTCGTGGGGCTCAGCTCTTCAGCTCAAGGCTAGTGCTCTACCACTTGAATCACAGTGCCAGTTCTGGCTTCTTTCTGCCTTTCTTTCTTTCTTTCTTTTTTTTTTGCTTATGGGGTGCTGAAAAATCGAACCCAGGGCCTCATGCCACCTTCCCAGCCCCTGGCCACTGATTTTTTAATGGAATATTTATTGTTCCAGAAGAAATCCTAGAACTTAGAATTGGTTAAGATTAATAATTAGCAAAAAGAAGAAGAAGAGACGAAACTTCGTGCCATATTTCTGTGTTTAAAGTCTTGAATTTCCATCCCTGTAAGCATTACCAATGGATTACAATAAAAATCAATATCATGAAGCTACTTAGCCAGAAAAAGGGTGTTAGTTGGTGGATATATATTTGAAATGTAAAAGTTATAAGATCTAATTCCAACATTGTCTTCTACTTTCAGTCATTTGGGCATAAATTCTATGGACTAGTTTTATTCCATGTGTATGAATTTCAATGATATAACACATTTTGGTGGTGAAATAGTATAAGCCTAAAGTAGTATAGCAAAAAAGTATAGCTAATATGACCCCTCAAAAGGAATAGAATAATAGAATAATACAAAACAAATCTAAAAGAAGGCAGAAAAGAAGAAACAGAATAAAGTACAGATTAGGCAAGTAGAAAACAGTAAGAGGAAAGTTTTAAGTCAAACTATATCAAGAGTCACATTAAATATAAAAGGTGAAAGTATCTCTGTTTAATTAAAGAGATTAATAATTAGATAAAATAGCAAGACCCAGCTATAAGAAACTTGGATGAAAAATATCAGGGCTTGGAATGTGGCTTAGAGTGTTTACCTAGCATCCATGAAGCCCTGGGTTTAATTCCTTAGTTCCACATAAACTAGCTGGAAGTGTTGCTGTGGTTTAAGTGGTAGAATGGTATAGCCTTGAGCAAAAGAAACTCAGGGACAGAGCCCAGTCCATGAGTTCAAGCCCCAGGACTGGAAAAAAAATCATATTATCACTTTAACACCATTCTTACCAATCTAAAGTAAGACAGAAAATAATGATGTCAGTCGTCTATTGTTACAACAGTGTTAAAAGAAATTACAGTAATTACATATGTCAAGATCTGAATAAACTTATTATCATAATATCATTCTATGACATACCTTTAGAAGAGAAGATATTTACAGATACTTCAGTAACTTTAGGTATCTTTTTAAGAATAGGAACTTGTATAACAAATTACTATTTGGTTTTTGCACAGGAATCTGTGAAATTTCTTTGTGAAATTTCTATATTGGCTACAGATAGCGCTAAAAATAATTGTTACTACTTAGCAACACATCTGAGTCTTCTCACTATTCTTGAGGGATATTTTAATCACAATATGATTTGAAATTATAGCCAGGTGCCAGTAGCTCATGCCTGTAATTCTAGCTACCTCAGAAGCTGAGATCTGAGGATCATATTTCAAAGCCAGCCCAGGCAGGAAAATCCGTGAGACTCTGATCTCCACCAAAAAACTGGAAGAGGTGCTGCGGTATAAAGTGGTATAGAATGCTAGCCTTGAGAGAAAAAGCTCAGAGACAAGACCCAGGCCCTGAATTTAAGCTCCATAACTAATAAAAAATTGAAAATATATATTGTATGAACATACACGGAAGCACCATTTACAATATTTCTAGGAGAAAAAAATTTGCTTTCTTTTTGTCGTACTGGGTTTTTAATTTAGAGCCTTATGCTTGCTTGGCTTTCTTTTTTGACTAGTCCTCTGCCACTTGAACCACAACTCCATCCTTGCTTTTTTGTTAATTGAAAATTGAATTTTGCAGACTGCATGCTTCAGTTGGCTTCTAACCTCAATCTTTCAGAGCTTAGCCTCCAGAGTAGCTATCATTGCAGGTATGAGTCACCAGCACTGAACCTGATTGGCATTTTTAAAAGATGAAATTTTAACTCTGATGATAATAATAATCACCTGTATTTTTATCATATTCCCCCACACACAGTTCCATTCACCAGACCTATGCAGGGTGGAATTAATTGTAAGAAAGATAACCTTGGTGATTTTTTTTCTCTGCATTAAAATACTTGAATAAATTTTAGGTGAAAAAAAATTATGAAGCACTCAAACAGCGACAAGATGAGGAAAGAATGGTGCAGAGCTCTCCTGTAGTACCCAGGGAAGATAATAAATGGGAACGAGAAAGCCAAGAAACAACTAGAGAGCTTCTAAAAGTTAAAGACAGATTAATTGAAGTAGAGAGAAATGTAAGTATTTTAAAATCTTTTAGTAGAATAAAATATATTAGAAGTAAAGGATCATTGGACATAATCAGGTAAGTTAGAAAATATCACCTAGTTGTGTAGTTTTGATTATTTTATGCTCCTTTGTTGGCATATGTTCAATAGTTCAACATGACATTTCTGTTCATGTATATAATGTACTTTAGTCACATTCACCCCTCTGTAGTTCTTATCCTCCATCCCTCTTCTCACCTTCCCCTTGTTTCAGTTTGAAGCCTGTTCTATTAGATGAGTAGAGCTACTCCTGACTAGCTATAAGTATAGCTTCTCTTGCTATCATTTGGGTTTCATGTACTTAGAAATGTATTTTTCTATGCTTTTACTTTAAACCTGTTTGCCTTTGTCAGTAAAGTATGTTTCTTGTAAGCAATAAACAGTAGGGTCTTCTGTTTGTTTGTTAATCCAGTCCACCAGCCTGTGTTTTAATTGGAGAATTAAATGTGTAGTATATTCTGTCATTTTGTTATTTTTCTTTGCTAATCTTCATTTCTTTATCTATATGACTAGTAAATTGGTCTGCTCTTTCCAATGTTTTCATTAGTTCTTTCTCTTCTGAATATAGGATTCCTTTGCATATATTCTTCAGTTCTGGCTTAGTATTACTAGTGATAAAAGCATTTATTCTTTAGAGTATTTTTACTTTTTCTTCCATTATGAAAGTTTGCTCTGCTGTTTAAATAACTGCATTAGCATTCATTTTCTTTCAGAGTTTAGAACATATCATTCCATGCTCTTCTTTTTTTTGGGGGGGAGGGGTCCGGTCGTGGGGTCTGAACTCTGGGCCTGGGCACTGTCCCTCAGCTCTTCAGCTCAAGGCTAGCGCTCTACTACTTGAGCCATAGCACCACTTCTGGCTTTTTTTTTCTGCTTATGTGGTGCTGAGGAATCGAACCCAGGGCCTCATGCATGCAAGGCAAGCGCTCTACCACTGAACCACCTTCCCAGCCTCTCCATGCTCTTCTTGTTTTTAGAATTTGTATTAAGAAATTTGCTATTCTAATGGTTTAACTTTTTTATGTGCTTGATGCTTTTTTTCTGCTTTCAATATTACTTTCTGGGTCTGTATAGTTAGTGTTTTAGCTCTAAAGTGACATAGGCAGAGTTCTTTTTTGGTCTTACTTGTTTAGAGTCCTAAATGCCTACTATAATTGCATTACTATCTCTTTGACAAGAGTGTAGAAAGCTTATTATTTTGTTTTTGTTTTCTATGTCTTTTAACATGTACCTTTTCTTCTACATCAATAATTCATAGAGTTGGTCTTTTTTTTTTTAAGTGCCAGTCCTGGGCCTAGAACTCAGGGCCTGGGCACTGTCCCTGAGCTTCCTTGGTGCAAGGCTAATGCTCTTCCACTTCTGGCTTTTCGGGTAGTTTATTGGAGATAAGAGTCTATGGTATAAATGTTATAGATCATGATAGACATTTTTCCCCATGAAAGTTAGAATGTGTTAGTGGCTTTAACTAAGCATACTATCCCACAATACTGGGAAATTATATAATCACTTAATCACAATAAAGAATTTGAAAAAAAAAAAAGTGTCTACAGTATCACCTTCTTCTCCTACCCTCAGAGATCCAAGCTGGAATTGCTGGCTGTTTCCTTTTTCTGTGTTGCCTTTCCTTTTCTCTTTTTCTGTTACCTATGCAGTGATAATCAATGTTCTTCCTTTGTTTCTCTTTTATAATATAATTTCCTTTGTTATTCTGCCTCCCATTGCTTATTCATAGATTGACACAGAAGAATCTGTGTCAGGTATCTGTGTTAGCAGTTCAGGGAGCCTGGGACACCATCTTGCCCCTTCCTTGATTGATTTTTATACATTAAGAAAAGACTGGTGATTTAATAATTGGATATACTTTTCACCATCCAGAACCAAGGTTTATATCTCTATTTAGGAAATACATCCCAAATATATCTGTTTCTTTCCATCTTTGCTCTTATCACTCTTTGTAAGATAGCATTACCTTTCATCTTGACTCAGTATATCCTAAATGGTCTCCCTTTTCCACTCCTCTACTAATCAAACTCATCCTCAGTATACTTTCTAGAGCATTCTTTAAAAAAAAACAAACCCAGGTTTGTGTCACTTCAAGACTTAAAATATTGTTGAGCACCTGTGGCTCATGCCTGTAATCCTAGCTATTCAGGAGCCTGACATCTGAGGATCACAGTTTAAAACCAGCTAGCATAGGAAAGTCACTCATCTCTAATTATCCACCAGAAAACCAGAAGTGACAGTGTGGCTCCAAGTGGTAAAGCACTAGCCTTTGCAAAAGAGCTCAGGGATCATGCCCAGTTCAAACCCCGTGACCACCTCCAAAAAAATAAAAATAATATATGTATATCAATAACTTCAAATTTTTTAGGATAAAATTCAAAATTATTTTCTTCTACTTTTATTTGCTTTTATTAGTTGTATAAAGAGGTTTCATTGTGCATAGAATATACTTTGATCAAATTTTCCCCCTTTATTATTTTTCCCCCTTTTCAACAATTTTTACTGGATTTTATTATTCTATTTTCATACCTGCATAAGAAGTACTTGAGAAGGAAAAGAGAATGCTAGAGGGTGAACAAAATACATATGTGAATTAAGATAAAATGAAATTTGTGGAAAGCTGTTGAATTGACAGAGGGTAATGGGATGGGAAAAATGAGTTAAATGAGAGAAATCTGATTAAAATATTGTATATAGGTACGAAAAACAAGAACTTTGATCATGTACTTTTTACCAGCCCCTTTTCCCATCACTGCTCCTGCTGGTTCTTATGCACACACAGAATCCCTGTTGTTCATTTTTTTTCTTTAGGTTTAGATTCAATAGACAGAAAGCATTTGATATTTGTCCTTTTTAGTCTGGAGTATTTCACTTAACATGTTGATTTTAAGTTCTGTCAATTCTCTTGCAAACAGCATAATTTTATTCTTCATAGCTGAATAATTTTCCACTATTTATGAATGTGTATATTCTCTTCATCCATCCATTGATAGGCACCTAGGCTGACTCCATATTTTGGTTATTGTGAATAATGCTGCTATCAATATGGGTGTCAGCTATCTTGACTATATTTTGACTTGCATTCTTTTAGAAAGATGCCCCAGGAATGGAATAGCAGGATTATATGGTTGTTCTATTTTTAATTTATTTTTTCTGCTGGTCATGGGGCCTGAACTCTGGGCCTGGGCGCTGTCCCTCAGCTCTTCAGCTCAAGGCTAGCACTCTACCACTTGAGCCACAGCGCCACTTGTGGCTTTTTCTGCTTATGTGGTGCTGAGGAATTGAACCCAGGTCTTCATGCATGCAAGGCAAACACTCTACCACTGAGCTACCTCCACAGCTCCTTTTTTTAATTTTTTTCAAAAAAAAACACTGCATATTGTGCTCTATAGTGGTTGCATTAATTTACATTCCTGCCAACTGTGTATAAGGGTTCCTTTTCTCTGCTCTTGCATCTTTACCAACATGTGCTGTTTGTTTTCTGTCTGTCTGTCTGTCTGTCTGTCTCTGTCTCTCTCTCTCTCTGTCTCTCTCTCATACACACACAGACACAGACACAGTGGTGTTGGGGTTTTGAACTTAGAGCCTTTATACTTGCTAGGTAACAGCTCTGTTTCAGCCCTTTTTTGGATAGGGGGAACCCCACTTAGTACTTCTGAGCAAACAACCTCATTCTGATTCCTTGAATTAATAAATATATTTAGCATGGAATATTTTGTGTACAGATTATTATAAAGCAGAATCCAGGCAAATTACATATTAAAGTTACAGTATTACTACCACCTTTTTCATAGATTAAATGTGATAACAATTTGGGATAGAGAGTGACTTTTTTTAGGTTATAGGGTTTTTTTAATTTTAACTAGTAATAAATGCTCATTGTATAAAATTTCAGTATCTTACAGAAAAATAAGTTTGAAATTCACTTTATTTTTATTGTCTTTTTTAGAATGCTACATTGCAAGCAGAGAAGCAAGCATTGAAAACTCAACTGAAGCAACTTGAAACACAGAACAATAATTTGCAGGCTCAGATTCTTGCACTTCAGAGGCAAACTGTGTCATTACAGGAACAGAATACTACCCTTCAAACCCAGAATGCCAAGCTTCAGGTTGTAATGTGATATTTGAGGGTTATTAAACCAAACACTTAAAGTGTATGCTATTAAAATAAAGAGGACTTGACAGTAGATCTTAGTGAGTGAACTGAACAGTTGAAAACAAAACGTTTTTATTTAGTATAATGTCAGACATTTAAACATCAGCATTTTATAAATGTCAAAAGTAATAAAAATTAATAAATTCATACAAAAATACATTTTTAGGATTACAGGGTTTGGACTTACAGTTTTGTGTTTGTTCATCTTGCTTGCTCAGCTTATATTCTACCATTTATCTCATACCTCTATCCCTACTTTGAGCAGGTTAATTAAAGATGGAGTCTCATAGACTTTTCAACCTGGGCTGGTTTTAAACTACAGTCATCTGGTCTCAGCCTTCTAAGTAGTTAAGATTATAGGCAATGAGCCACCTTTAACCAGCTAAGATAACTTTTATCATAGTCTTTTCAGCAAGATGATTCTAATTAGCTAAAATACTTTGCAGTATGGTACGATTACAATACAATTTGGAATTTTGTCATTAGATTTATTTCAAAGGATCCATCTTTCACTTATCACCCAATGTCTTTTCAGACAGAATAGTCTGGTAGAAAAAAGTCCAACTTTCAAAACAATAAAACAAAAAAGCTCTCAAAAACAAGCTTTCTCAATGAACCTAATAGTTCTTTCTGTTACCCTATTCCAAGTGGTAAATTACTAATTTGGACTTGAGAAAATTTCAAAAAATATTTTTTCAGTTCTGTCAACTCCCAGATTCTAGAAATGATAAGTTAAAATAATACTTTTCTTACTACTTTGTAAGTGGAATACAAATACTTGGTGATCAACTTTATTTAAAACAAATTTAACTCAAATATATAATGCATATATGTAATACACATATATATGTGTGGATGTATTTATGTGTGTGTGTATATATATATATATATGTATGTTATGTAATTTATATATATATATATATATATTTTTTTTTTTTTTGTATATCATGAGGTTTGAACTTAGGGCCTGGGTGCTGTCCCTGAGCTTTTGTGCTAAGGCTAGCACTCTTAACACTTTGAGCCACAGCTCCATTTACAGTTTTATGGGGGTTATTAGGATATAAGAGTCTCACAGCCTTTCCGGCCTTTGTAGACTTCAAATCATGGTCCTCAAATCTCAGCCTCTTGAGTAGCTAGGATTACAGGCATGAGCCACCCATATATGTAGCACCTAACTAACTAACTAACTAACTAACTATATATATATATATATATATATACACACACACACACACACATATATATTCATACCTTCAGATATATAAAATACATATGTTATCTCCAGAGGTAAAAATTGAATGGTAACTTTATTCTTTGGGAAGCTAAAAATCTAAAGTTTCATATTAAAATATGAATATAACTGCTGTGATTTAGAACTTTCTTATTGTAACATTACTTTCATACAGGTTGAAAATTCCACTCTTAATTCTCAAAGTACCTCACTTATGAACCAGAATGCACAACTCTTAATCCAGCAGTCATCCTTAGAAAATGAAAATGAATCTATAATCAAAGAACGAGAAGACCTGAAATGTCTCTATGATTCTCTAATCAAAGATCATGAGAAGCTGGAACTTCTTCACGAACGCCAGGCCTCAGAGTATGAATCTCTCATCTCTAAACATGGAACTCTGAAGTCTGCCCACAAAAATCTTGAAGTGGAACATAAAGATCTTGAAGACCGGTAACTGACTATATTATGTTGTACTGTTAAATTTTAAACAAATTTTCTTCAGACAATATGGTCAATTTTATGAATTAACACATTTATTAAGGTAATTTACATAGAATTGCATGTGTTTTATTTAGTTCTTCTAATAAGCTACTCTTGTTCATTTTTAAAATATTTTCTACTTTGGAAATATGTTTTATATATCTAACTTTTTCCACAGTTACAATCAGTTATTAAAACAGAAAGGACAATTGGAAGATTTGGAAAAAACACTCAAAATAGAACAGGAAAAAATGCTTCTTGAAAACAAAAATCATGAGACGATAGCTGCAGAATACAAGAAACTTTGTGGTGAAAATGATAGGTAACGTAATTTATATATTTTAATTCTGTATTCCTTATATCTGAAGTATATACTGCCCTTTTTAGTACCACCTATAATTTGTATTTCAAATTTTAAGGAATAGACTGATAAAGTTTTTTTGCAGTCAAAACTTTTTTTCAAAGACTTCAAAGCGGTAAGTAAGCTATCTAACAGTTGCATTGCTAGTTATGGAATCACTGAGGGAAAAACCTGATTGTTCTATTTTCTCTTGTTTTATTCAGCTAAGATTGCTTGTTCATTTATTTACTTGTACTTGGGCTTGAACTAGGGGCTTCAAACTCTTAGTTGGCTTTTTCCACTCAAGATGCTTCCAGTTCTAGCTTTTGCTGGTTTAGAGATGATTCTTGTGAATTTGTCTGCCTGGGCTGGCCCTTGATTCTCAGACCTCAGCCTACCGAGCAGCTAGGATTATAGGCATGGGCCACCAGTCTCAGCTTCAACTAAGTTGCGTTTTGTTATGTTTTATTGTAAAAATACTGTACCGAGGGGTTATAGTAAGGTAATGAGTACATTTTCTATGGAGTATTGTTACTTCCTCCTTTGTTTTCCCCCTACCATCCCTTCCCTCCCCATCTCCCTAACTTCTCCCCCCACTCCCCAAAATTGTAAAGTTCATTTTCAACATAGTGTCTTGTACATCTCATTGTTACAATGGGTCAACCTAGATCCTTATTTCAGCATTTTTTATTTCCCTTCCCTTCCCCAAATTAGAAAAATGTATATATAAAATGCAGGGTACCAGAATCAAATACAGTGAATACAGGGGTTATACCATGGGGGAAGAACATAAAAAAGAAAAAAAATCACACGTACATTTTGTATTATTTAACAAAATTTCTAAAGCTGATAACCTAAAAAAAAGCTTTATAGGGATAAAATATAATTAAACCTGATGATTTGTGTCATTGGTTTCCCTAGTTTGGCATCCTAATTCTTGTCTTTGAAATTGGTGCCTAATAATTTTCTGACTAACTGGATTGGAACCTATATTTTTAATTACCTTGTGTATTAATGTCTTTACATTAGCACAGGAAAATTTTTTGTTTGGTTTGTTTGTTTGTTTAATTGATAGCCTTGAGAAGTCAGAACTTGCCAAGTGTAACCATCCTATTCCATAAGGGTAATAATTCTGAATTTTTTCAGAAATTTTAGTTTAAATAGCAAAAGCATTTGTATTACACTTATATCACTACACCTGAAGAGCTCATAGGAAACATACAAAATTCAAATATAAGTTATTTCTTAACTATTTTCTAATTATGAATTTAACAAATTCACCTTTAAAAACGATACGTTTTTCTTTTTAAAAATTCCTAGTCAGTGGGGCACTAGTGGCACATTTCTGTAATCCTAGTTACTCAGGAAGCTGAGATCTGAGGATCATGGTTCAGAGCCAGCCCAGGCAGGAAAGTCCATGAGACTATTATATCCAAAAAAGAAAAAAAAAACTTCTCAGAAAAAGCTGGAAGTGGGCTGGGAAGGTGGCTCAGTGGTAGAGCGCTTGCCTTGCATGCATGAGGCCCTGGGTTCGATTCCTTAGCACCACATAAGCAAAAAGAACCGGAAGTGGCACTGTGGCTCAAGTGGTAGAGTGCTAGCCTTGAGCTGAAGAGCTGAGGGACAGCGCCCAGGCCCAGAGTTCAGGCCCCACAACCAGACCCCCCCCCAAAAAAGAAAGAAAGAAAGAAAGAAAAAGGTCGAAGTAGAGCTGTGACTCAAGTGGTCTTTGAACAAAAAGAAGCTCAGAAGCTCAGGGACAGTACCCAGGCCCAGAGTTCAAGCCTCAGGGCTGGCCAAAAATAAAAAATTCTTAGAGACAATGAGATGTACAAGTCGTTATGTTGAAAACGAACTTTACAACTTTGGTGCGGGGGAGGGGGGGAGAAGGAATGTTGGGGGCCGGGGGAAGATAAGATGGGAAGGGGAAACAAAGGAGGAGGCTACAATGCTTGATAAGAAATGTACTCATTGTCTTGCCCATGTAATTGTAACCCCTCTGTACAGTATTTTCACACAAAATAAAATTCCTAGAGAGATACCAGTGGCTCACGCTTGTTGTAATCTTATTTACTCAGGAGGCTGAAATCTAAATGTCACAGTTTGATGCCAGCCCATGCACAAAGGTCTGTGAGACTTTCAAAAACTGAAAGTGAAGCTGTGGCTCATTAAGTGACAAAGGAATAGCACCTAGTCCCTAAGTTCAAGTCCCAGTACTGGTGTGTGTGCATGCATACACACACACACACACACAAATTCTAGATAAAATGAACCATGTTCATTTTCATGCTCAACAGTTTCCTATCCTATTGTTGAAATTCTCTATTGTGGGATTTGAACTTCAATGAGTTAAACACCACATTTCATTAGAATAAAGACAATGTATGATAAAGAGGATATATATGTGTGTGTGTATGTATATATAGATACATACATATCTATATATACATACACACATATCAGTATATGCAGTAGTAGACCAAACTCCCACAAGTTACAGGGTCTTTTCTCCCCCCCCCCAGTATTGGGGTTTTAACTACAGGCTTCCCATGCCCTTGGCTTCCTTAACTCATGCCCTGAACTTTACCAGTTGAACCATACCTTTAGTCTGGCTTTTTGCTGGTCAGTCAGAGATGGAACTTAAGAACTTTTCTGTCTGAAATGGCTTTGAACTACAGTTCTCCAGGTCTCAGCCCCCTTAGTAGCTAGGCTTACAGGTATGAATCATTATTGTCTGCCTTCATTTTTATTATATACCAAACTTTGAGGAACATATTCCCCATAAAAGTGTCCCATTTTTATCTATTTTTTTGTTCATTGCTAGGATTCATAGATAGCTGAAGCAATTCCTGGATTTAGTTGGTCATTCTAGGAATGTAATTGTGTATGTTAGTAGGACCCTGCAGGTAAAGAACATAGCAAAACTGAAGAAGAAATTGAGCGTGATAGGCTTAACTCTAAAATTCTCCAGGTTTGTAGAAAACAATGACCATTGAGAGATTATTTTTGCCTGTGGTTATACTACCCAATCTGAGTATTTTCTGTGTCAGTTATATCCAGCTTACTTTTTGTTTACTCATGTCTTAGAACGAAGGTCTTGGTTCTAAGGGAAGAAAAGGTTTTAAGTGGAACATGTTTCACCCTTCTCCCCTCAAATAAAGATATTTATGAAGACATCTGAAGAATAATAATTTGTCTCTCTGAATAGTCTATTTAATTTTAGATAATGCCAAACAGAGTTTCTTTAATGGACTTAGTTATCTAGGCCTTGTTAGAATTGTATTCACTGAACTGTATTTTCTTATTACCATTTTAAAAGACAGTATAACAAATTCAAGAACCCAGGTGTAAAGGTATGAGCCTGTAATCCTAGCACACAGGAGGCTGAGGAAGGAAGATTGTTAAGTTCTAGGCCAGTCTGATCTACAAAGGAAGATATTGTGTCAAAAATCTTTTAAAAGTGGCTGGGAAGGTGGCTCAGTGGTAGAGTGCTTGCCTTGATGCATGAGGCCCTGGGTTTAATTCCTCAGCACCACATAAGCAGAAAAAGCTGGAAGTGGCGCTGTGGCTCAAGTGGTAGAGCACTAACTTTGAGCTGAAGAGCTGAGGGACAGTGCCCAGGCCCAGAGTTCAGGCCTCATGACCAGCAAAAAAGGAAAAAAAAATCTTTTAAAAGGTAGGAACTCCAAGAGCTTATCTTAGCATTTGCAGTGGGGATTTGGAATGTCAAACATTGTCTCCTTCCTATGAAGCATCTTTAGGAAATTTTTTATTATCATAGGTGTTGATATACTACCTATATTTGTATGAATGGTTTACATCTAATTAAGGATTCAGTCTATCTATATAGTATTTATTGTATATGTCTAGTTTTGCCAATTTGGTTTTTATACCAATTCCTTTTTTTTTTTATCAGTTGTGGGGCTTGAACTCGGGGTTGGGGCTCAAGGCTAGCACCCTCCCACTTTCGGCCACAGTTTTCTGATGGTTAATTGGCGATAAGAGTCATAGACTTTCCTACCCAGACTGGCTTTGAACTGTAATCCTCAGATATCAGCTTCCTGAATAGCTAGAATTACAGGCGTGAATCATCAGTGCCTGGCTTGTACCAATTCTTGATTTAAAAAATGTATTTTATAATGACTTTTGTAAGCTGACTAAATTTCTATGAGGAAATGAGTTCTGGTAAATGATCAGATGTTCCAAACAAGGACCATCCTAAGCAAGAAATTGCTTCATTTGGTTGCCTGTTTTTCTTAGGGGATTCTGATACTTTTTTTTTTTTTCCATCCCTGGGGCTTGAACTCAGTCAGGGCCTGGCACTGTCCCTGAGCTTCTTTTGCTCAAGGCTAGCACTCTACCACAGCATTACTTGTGGCTTTTTCTGTTTATGTGGTACTGAGGAATCAAACCCAGGGCTTCATGCATGCTAGACAAGCACACTTCCACTGAGCCTCCTTACTAGCCCTGGGATTCTGATCTTATTGCCATAAGATTGGATGGACTGGGAAGGTGGCTCAGTGGTAGAGCGTTTGCCTTGCATGCATGAGGCCCTGGGTTTGATTCCTCAGTACCACATAAGCAGGGGGGAAAAAAGCCAGAAGTGGCGCTGTGGCTCAAGTGGTAGAGTTCTAACCTTGAGCTGAACTGCTAAGGGACAGCACCCAGGCCTAGAGTTCAGGCCCCACAACCAGACCAAAAAAAAAAAAAAAAGATTGGCAAACTATAGCCAGCCCAGCAGAAAGTTCATTTAGGTATTGTCTCAGGACAGCCTCCAAACTAAGAAAAGAAAAATTTCATAATTTGATGTATTGGTAAAATGGAAATAAAGAAGTATGCTACTATGACTACACATGGCCTACAAGGCCTTGAGTCTTTACTCTTTGGTCTTTATAAGAAATGTGTCAGTCCCCATACTTAAAGATCAGTGAACCTTGCTCTAAAAGTGAATTGTGGCAAGAAAAGAAAAACTATATTTTTACAGAATAACAATCAAACGTTGTATAAATACTAATAATCTGCAATAACTAGAGAAAGCTTACCAACTAAAATTTGGTTTAAACTTGTACATGTTAATTATCAGCAAATATGTCAACATAGTGTTTCATATTGAATTTACACATTCTGTTTATCCAGTCCTTGTTTCGTGTGAAATTTTAGATTCTATATTTTTTTTGAATCAAAAGGGGATTGGACTGGGCACCTGTGCCTCATGTTTAAACTAGCTACTCTTGAGGCTGAGATCTGAGGATCAAGGTTCAAAGCTAACCCAGGCAAGAAAGTCTTTGAGACTTTTACCTCCAGTTAACCAGCAAAAAGCTAGAAGTGAAGGTGTTGGATGAAGTGGTAGAGTACCAGCCTGAGCAAGATAAGCCAAGTAAAAGTGCAAAGCTCTGAGTTTAAGCCCAATACCAGCCAAAAAAAAAAAAAAACCACAAAAAAGCAGAATCAAAAACTGGATTGGTGCCTGGCACCAATGGCTCATGCCTATAATCCTTGCTACTCAGGAACCTGAGATTTGAAAATCTTGGTTCAAAGCCAACTCAGTCAGATACATCCAGAAGACTTACCTCCCCTTAACCAGCAAAAAGCCAGAATTGTCAATTTGCATTATATTCATAAACTGATTTGTTGAATGGTTACTCCTTTGAACACTATTTATAGATAATAAAAAATCACTCAAGTGTCAGAGTGTCAGATGTGAGCAAAAAAGCTGAGCAAGAATACAAGGTCCTAAGTTCAAGCCCCAATACCAGCATAGAGAAAAAATAACTATTTTTTCTTTCATTCTTTAAATATTTTTATTAACACTTTTTAAGTTTTATGTGATAAAAGTGTTTATTTGGACTGGGAAGGTAGCTTAGTGGTAGAGTGCTTGCCTAGCATACATGAAGCCCTGGATTCGATTCCTCAGTACCACATAAACAGAAAAAGCTGGATGTGGTGCTGTGGCTCAAGTGGTAAGAGTGCTAGCTTTGAGCAAAAAAAGAAGCTTAGGGACAGTGCCCTGAATTCAAGCCCCAGGACTGCCAGAAAAAAAAAGTCTATGTAGCATATTTAAAACCTAAAATATTCTTTTTTGGAAAAGATGTACTTACAATATTGGGGGGGAGTTCTTTTTTCTTCTTCTTTTTTTTTTGGTCAGTTGTGGGGCCTGAAATCTAGGCTTGGACACTGTCCCTCAGCTTTTAAGCTCAAGGCTAGCGCTCTACCACTTGAGCAACAGTGCCATTTCTGGCTTTTTCTGCTTATATGGTGCTAAGGAATTAAACCCAGGGCCTCATGCATGCAAGGCAAGCACTCTACCACTGCGCCACCTTCCCTGCCTGTACTTAGAATATTTTTGTCTGTCGTGGGGCTTGAACTGTGGGCCTGAGCTCTGTCCCTTAACTCTTCAGCTCAAGGCTAGCGTTCTACCACTTGAGCCACAGCGCCACTCTTAGAATATTTTTTAATCTAGTTTTTAAAGACAAGAAACTGATTTTTTAAATCAGTTTAGTAACTGGCAAAAGAATCTTTCGTATTTTCACTGTCTGAATTTGTTTTTAGGCATTTTCAAATTGTGTAAATTACAGTGAAATCTGTAAAGAAAATCTAGTAGGTTGGGTACAGTGGCTCACTCCTATAAGCCCAGCTACTTGAGTGGAGATTAGGAGGATAGAAGTTGTCCTCAAACATGGGCAAAAAAATTCATGAGAAGCTCATTGCAACAAAAAAGCTGGGCATGGGGATATACAACTGTCATTTTGTCTGTGCAGGAGTCTTAAAATAAGAAGAGAAGCCTGGTGCTGATGACTTACGCCTATAATCCTAGCTATTCAGGAGGCTGAGATTTGAGGATCACAGGTCAAAGCCAGCCTGGGCAGAACAGTCCGTGAGACTCTTAAGCCCATTTTAACCACCAGAAAACTGGAAGTGACGCTGTGGCTCAAGTGGTAGAATACTCGCCTTGATCTGAAAAGCCAAGGGACAGGGCCCAGGCCCAGAGTTCAAGCCCCACAACCAACCAAAAAACAAAGAGAGAGAGAGAACAGTTCAGGCCCACTCAGGCAAAAATCTTAGAACCCTACTTGAAAAATAATTAAAATTAAAAGGGTAAGGGCATGGCTCATGTGGTAAATCATGGGTAGGAAATGGGAGGCACTGAGTTCAAGTCCCAGTACCACCAAAAAAAAATTAGTCTAACTACTTCTATTATGATTTCTATTTATAGGTTAAATTATACATATAGCCAGCTTTTAAAAGAGACTGAAATTTTACAAACTGACCACAAAAATTTGAAAAGTCTCCTAAATAATTCTAAACTGGAACAAACAAGATTAGAAGCTGAATTTTCGAAGCTAAAGGAACAGTACCAACAGCTGGATATCACATCCACAAAACTAAATAACCAGTGTGAGGTAAGCTACAAGTCTCATCACTGTTTTGTTTCTTTCTATGGCCATGCCCTAAATGTAACCTAATGATATTATAAGTGACAATAGCAGTAGATACTTAGTGGGTTGCTTCTACACTAGTTGGTTAAAAGTGGCGCTGTGGCTCAAGAGGTAGAGTGTTCGCCTTGAGCTGAAGAGAGTAGGGACAGCACCCAGGCCCAGAGTTCAAGCCCCACGACTGACCAAAAAAAAAAAAAGTTAAGGATAACTGACATTTACAAATAATTGAGAAACGTATCATTAATTTCATTTTTTTACTGACAGCTCAATTTTTATTGTACAGATGCTTTCAAATTTTAGTTATGTGCTTTTATTTGATAATAAAATATGCATTGTAAACTTAGCATGAGATAATAAGACAATAGAAAAAAATAGTTTGAAATCATATGCAACAGAACTCAGAAGGTTCATAGCATTTATTCCACCCTTTATTTATTTATTTATTTATTTTTAATTTTGGGGGGGGGTCCGGTCATGGGGCCTGAACTCTGGGCCTGGGCGCTGTCCCTCAGCTCTTCAGCTCAAGGCTAGCGCTCTACCACTTGAGCCACAGTGCCACTTCCGGCTTTTTTCTTTTTGCTTATGTGGTGCTGAGGAATCAAACCCAGGGCCTTATGCATGCAAGGCAAGCACTCTACCACTGAGCCATCTTCCCAGCCCCTCTACCCATAATTTATAAAAGTATAAGTAAAATATACTTAGGTTGATGTACATCCAGAATAGTGAATAATTAATATTCAAAGTAAAGTTGGAGAAAAAGTCACCCTGGAAGCAAGGTGCCCAGCTACCCCACCACTTTGGAGGTGCTCTCCGGCTCCCAACTCCAGATCCGAGACCGGGACTTGAACTTGATCCTGCCGCACTTCCACTCATTGAAAGTGATGGCTGATAAAGCAGATAAGAATTCTGTAAGAACTAGAGCAGTGAATTCAGATAATAAAATCATGGTTCCTCTACCACTACCTAAGAAGAAATACGCTAGGATCATTACAACCAAGAAAGCAGCAGGAGAGGATGAATCCTATCTTGAGGCCTCAGCGAAGGCTGAGAGAGAAGGTGACCACAAGATTGGAGCAATGCCTAAATCAGCTGTGGTGTCTAAACGAAAGCAAGGGAGACCTAAGAGTCTTCAATACAAAACGTGAGCTCAGGAAGGAAATTCAAAAGTTGGGACAAGGATATGAAAATGTCTTCAAGTTGCTTGAGGAAATGCAAGGAACTCTGGAATTTAAGAAAGAACTTGTTGAATATGCTATCGAGGACATGAAAAGATTCAGAAGCCGAGAGCTAATTAAACACTTTGAACACACACTGAAAAAATCAACAAGCATCTGAACAAAGATAAATAAACCACAAATACATAATCCTCTTATGACAGTGCTCAAGAAGAGGAAAGAAATAGTTTGGTATATTTGAGAATGTAGCATACTAATTCTGAAGTCTTATGGCATGTGTTTGTTAAGAGAATTGCATTCCAAAGTCAAAGGCTAGTGAATATGTAAAAGGAGTGGAGCTTTTGAATGTTGCAAATTTCTGTTAGTAAACGTTGGGCTGTGGCTTTATTGGTTTGATTTGAAAAAAAAAACAAAAAAAATAAAGTTGGATAAAATTGTCAAAAAAGAACCATTTTAGGGCTTTATTGACATATAAGAGGCACTTCTGAAAGAAAACTACTCAACCTTGAGAAGTAACTATGATTATATGCAGTATTTGTATTTTATAGTTTCTCTTTCCCTTCACCTTCCCTGGTGCAGACTGACTTGAAGTAAAGTCATATTTTAAGCAAGTGCATTGAGCATTATATAAATAAACATGGTACAGTATTAACAGTTGTTGAATCTAGATGGTTGTTTATGTATATTCATAATATTCTGATTTTTCTGTACCTATTTGAAAATTTTCTTTTTCTAGTATATATGGGTGGTTATGAGGGGAAGGTATATGTTGTTTGGCAACAGTTCTAACAGTACACAAAATAAGCTGTAAAATCCAGCAGCTTTGCCACTGGGGAGACAGACTTGGGGGATTTTTTTTTCTTCTTTTGTGTCAGTCCTGGGGCTTGAAGTTAGGGCCTGGGTGCTGTCCCTGAGCTTTTTAGCTCAAGGTTACCATTCTGCCATTTGAGCCACAACTCCACAGCTCCACTTCCAGCTTTTTGGTGGTTAATTGAAGGCAAGAGTCTTATAGCTTTCCTTCTGGACAGGCTTTGAGCCTCAATCCTCAGATCTCAACCTCCTGTATAGCTAGTATTACAAGTGTGACCCACCAGCCCCCAAATTGAGATAGATTTGATTTGAAGCAGAATGGAACAAAGTCCTGTGCTTAGGGGTTATTCATTCCTCATCTAGCTTAAAGTTGAAATGCTAGTTGAGGCAAATAGTAGTATAAAAGCAAACTACTCAGAAAATTTAACAAGAAGATTGAAGAAATGAGACAGCAACACTGAATTTTGGTAATGCCTCACATGTTACTACCAGAGAAGAGTCTTCTTTTCTGGTCCATTGTCCTAATTCAGATCAGACATTAACCCTTTACTGTGGTATATAATGTCATGATTTGGAAATGGTAGAAACTTTCTATGGTGAGAAGTCAGGGTGTGATTTTAATATTGATGATGATTAGAAGGTAGCACAGAAATGATTGTAAAATACAATTAACAATCTATTTTTTGATCTGTATGCTGCTTTAACATGGTGTTAAGTTTGTGATCATTCACTTACCCTGTATATACACAAATTTCTTCTCTTTTCTGAATATATGTCTTACCAATTATCTGATACAATAATAACCATAGAACCTCAGTTTGTAATGGAGAAGTAAATATCTCTTTTTGCTTAAGTATGTGGGTTCCACTTACTGAGTGTTTAGGCCCAAAGGTTTGCTTCTGCATCTATAGTTAGGTTGCAGGTATATTAAAGGATTGGCTGGTCACCTCCACTCTGGTCTACATGGTTTCTCATTATCTAGCAAGGTTCTTAAAGCTGAGTGGAAGTACTTAAGGCCTCCAAGAAAGGTTTAGAACTTTCGTGCTTCACTTCCACTTTCTGTGGGCCAAAGGCATTCTAAATTCAAAAGAGGGAAGTAGATTTCCCTGATTGCTGAGAAGAGTGGGAAGTCCATTACAGGAAGGTTCCAGACACCCGGGGATCATGCCTGTAATCCTAGTGACTCAGGAGGCTAATATCTGAGGTTCATGGTTCCAAACCAGCCCAGGCAGGAAAGTCAATGAGACTCTAACTTCCTGTTAACCACTAAAAAGCTGAAAGTGAAGCTGTGGCTCAAGTGGTAGATTACTAGCCTTGAACAAAAAAAAAAATTCTTTTAAAGCTCAGAGACAGTGTTCAAGCCTCACACATGCATACACACACACACACACACACATACACACAGGTACACAAAATTACAAGAAAGCGGTACAATTAAGGAAGAGAATAGTTTTCAATGACTCTGCTGTGTGTTGTTATATTTTAATTTAACCGTAAATACATAAACCAAGCATGATGCAATAGTAGTTGTTGGTTTTAAGTAATTGTTTATAGTCCTAGAAAATATTGTTCCTGATTTTCTGTACCTTTAAAATTTTTTTACAATATTGGAGTTTTTCTTTCTGGTGAGGTGCAAGGAATATATATTGTCTTTATTTTAGATACAGATCTCTGTGGTTCATTCTAGCCCTGTTAAATTCAAATGTTGGAATTCAGAAATCTGCCCTAAAAGGGATGCTCAATTTTGAGAAACATTTCTTTGAGAGCTTGACTTCTACTAGAACTTCTGCTGTAGTTGCAGTGTGCTTCCAGTTTCTGTTAAGGCACACAAAGAGTCCAAACTAGCTGAGAATAAATCTTACTCCATTTTATCAAGCCATAAAACACAAACTTTTAAGCTTACTTGAAAATAGTGGTTAGGAGAAGAATAACATTTATGAAGTGTAACATATAGCCAGGTACTTTACATAAATAATTGTTCCAACAATTTGGTGGGATAAGAACTATCTGAGGATAGTTTTATAGATTTGAGAATTAACTAACTTGTCCAACATTTCTTAGCTACTTAAATAAAAGACCAGGGATAAGAGTCTAGCCTTGGGGTTACAGACTAAGTTATTTCAAAAGTAGCAGACTTTTAGACCTAGATAATTTATTACATATTAGACTTATCCAGTGTTTGTGGGAATTTAGAAACACATATGTATAGCTTGGAAATCAGTTCTGTAGCTGTTTTTACTACTATAATTTATGTTCTGACCAAAGTACAGTCATCTGTTTATTCAAACAGTTAAGGCAAGTCTGCATGAAATACTGTATTTTGAATGTTTCAGGTGACTTATGCTAAATGTCAATGTTTCTAAAAAAATTTCTTTTAAACAGTTGCTCAGCCAACTTAAAGGAAATTTGGAAGAAGAAAATCGACATCTACTAGATCAAATTCAGACACTAATGCTTCAGAATAGAACACTGTTGGAACAAAATATGGAGAGCAAGGATCTTTTTCATGTAGAGCAAAGACAGTACATGTGGGTACCAAATAATTCTGTACTTTTAAATATTACCCATGATGTTAATTGCTTTTTCCAGTAGCAGAAAAAATTATGCTCATTTTTCTTGATCTTTAACTTCTTCTGTATGTATTTTTGAATGCTTATGTTGTAGGCTCTCCTCAAATAACCAGAAATACTAATATGAAAACACATAGGTCTTGCCTTAGAGGAATTAGTATAGTACTTAAACCAAGAAATGAATTCAAGTGAGGCATTGCACCCCTGTTGCCACAGTACTGAGTAGGCTGTAGCAAGAAGATTGTTTGACCAGCCTGAGCATAAAAAGACCTAATTGTACATAGTAGCTCACACCTGAAATCCTAATGATTCAAGAAGAAGAGCTCTGGAGGATTGTGGTTCAAGCTTCTTGAGTATTGTCTTTACCTCTAGCCTTTCAGATGTTTCCATCATTAGATTAAGGTACCTTAGGCAAAGATTTTCACAATATCACTTTGTGAAATATGTATCTGACTTTCTACTGAACAAAATCTAAACCCAAGACTCCTTTACTGCTTCCCCTTCTGTGTTCAAGGTAAACTGCTTGGTTAGCAACCTTATGTTTCTTACATTGCAACTGTTGTGTGTGTGTCTGTTTGCACTTGCGCTGACATTGATGTTTTAAGTAAGGCCCTTGCATTCTTGCTTATTAGCTTTTTTTGCTCAAGGATGGTATTTTACCACTGGAGCCACACCTCCACTTTTTGCTGGGTAATTGGAGATAAGAGTCTATCAAATGTATCTGACTGAGATACATGACTTTAAATCTCTATCCTCATTTCTCAGCCTCATGAGTAGGATTATAGGTGTGAGCAACCAGTGTCTGACAATAAGGTTTTTGTTACTGATGTTGTTTTGTGGGTTCCCTTGTCCCCAAAAAGTGATCCCTCTGCTTTGGTTTGTGATCTTTGATGTTTCTGTATATGATAAATTCTACTAGTAGGATATAATGAAACTTGCATACTTATCCATTGCAATGGTCAGGAAATAATTCTATACAAGTAAATTTAATCTAAGTATTGAGAGCCAGGAGGGAAAATATATTTATTTGCATAAAGATGTTGATTGCACAATTTTTTTTTTTTGGGTCCAGTCATGGGGCCTGAACTCTGGGCCTGGGCGCTGTCCCTCAGCTCTTCAGCTCAAGGCTAGCGTTCTACCACTTGAGCCACAGCGCCACTTCTGGCTTTTTTCTTTTTGCTTATGTGGTGCTGAGGAATCGAACCCAGGGCCTCATGCATGCAAGGCAAGCACTGTACCCTGAGCCATCTTCCCAGCCCTGTGCACAATTCTTTATTATGCTTATTTTGAGGGTGTGTGTGTGTGTGTGTGTGTGTGTGTAGCACGCATGTGTGTGCTTGTGTAGGTTTGCCAATATTGGAGCAAGGGTGCTGCCCTTTAGCTTTCTTCCTCTCAAGGCTGGTTTTCTACCTTGAGCCACAACTCCACTTCCAGCTTTTTAATGGTTAATTGGAGATAAGAGCCTTAGGACTTTCCCCCAGGCAGGCTTTGAAGTGTGATCTTCAGATCTCAGCCTCCTGTGTTTATTTTAAATATCTTAGCATTTTCACTTGTTGCTCATGTAAGTTAAAATAAATCATACTTCTGTGAAGAAATTTTGGGATTATAAAGATCCAGAAGAGTAGGGAAATAGTTAACGTTCATACTGTTAAAAAAGCTGTACCAAACCTGTAGAATTTCTTTATATGATGAGATAATAGTATGAAATTTTTTCTTTGAACAAGTCTGTTGAAGAATTGAAACTTTAAATTCTATATACTTTTATTTTTAAGTAAATGGTAAGTTTAAAGCAAAGGAGAAATACAGAAAATTCATGGTTACTGTCTTACAAATTCAGTTGTCACTAGTGGGATCTGTATTTATGTTTCGGAAAGAAGAACATTAAATACAAAATAATTTAGTCTTATTCATGTCTATATAAAATATACATATTTTTAAAGTAATTTTTATTTTATAGTGATAAGTTAAATGAATTAAGACGACAGAAGGAGAAATTAGAAGAGAAAATTATGGATCAGTACAAGTTTTATGACCCATCTCCTCCTAGAAGGTACCACTAACCAAATTTTATGAATTTTTATTTAGAAAAAATGTATTTCTAGTACTTTGAAAATTTCTAATTTGGTGTTGGATTTTTGTGTTGAATTTTAGACTGAGAATTTTTTTACATTATTCTATTAGGAGAGGCAACTGGATTACTCTAAAAATGAGAAAATTGATAAAGTCCAAGAAAGATATTAACCGGGAACGTCAGAAATCTCTAACATTAACACCTACACGCTCAGATTCCAGTGAAGGATTTCTTCAGCTGCCCCATCAAGATAGTCAAGATAGTTCTTCAGTAGGGTCAAATTCTTTAGAAGATGGACAAACTCTGGGGACCAAGAAAAGCAGCAGTGAGTGCTTAACTTAAACTCTTTAAACATATTTTTTTGACTTAGAATCTTTTGAAAGCTTTCTATTAAAAAAAAAAATAGAAAACTACAACTTCAGTCCTTTCAGGAAATGGTCTAATGAATGGAATGGCATCACCTTTTAATTTTATATTAGTATAAAATTAATTGCATAATAGTGTATAACTGTATGGTTTTCTGAGACATACACAGAGATGCTCTCAGTTGGTCAGTGAAGTAAAATATTTTAAAAAGAACATTGAATTAAGAGCTAGAATGTCTTTATCCCTTGCAGATTATATATATATATATATATATATACGGATAAATATATATAATTTTATTTTCATTAATAGCTGTAATTTAATGAAAATAAAGCATTTTATACCAGGATTCTTCCTCAGAGCTTAGCAAACTGGACTAAAGTTATTACATTGGATGAAGCAAAGGAAAATAGGTATGAATTGGAAGAGGTGTTACTATTTAGAAATGAGTTAAAGGTTAAGAAAATTGTTGAGGGGTGTCTGGTAATGTTTTGATTTAAATGAAATAAAGATGGTGATATCTAACTTTGTATATAAACTTGTATTTTAATTTTTAGGATCTAGAAGTATCACATCCTAACATGGCTGATACTTCATTTTTAGTATGTTTAACCAAGTAGCAAGAGTAAAGGCCTAAAAAAGTATGTTTCAGTAGAAAAAAAATTCAATACTAAATCCTGTGAAGATGTTCAAGAGGTTGTCTGTCACTATTCTTAGGGAATATGTTTTTAAAAAAAGAAAGAGCCAGTGCCAGTGATTCATGCCTGTAATCCTAGCTACTCAGGAGGATGAAATCAGAGGATCACGGTTCATAGCCAGCTGGGGCAGGAAAGTCCATGAGACTCTTATCTCCAATTAACCACCAGAAAATTGAAAGTGGTGCTGTGCTTCAAGTGGTAGAGAGCTAGCCTTGAGCTGAAGAGCGGAGGGACAGCACCCAGGCCCAGAGTTCAAGCCCCCATGACCAACCAAAAAAAAAAAAATGGGGGGAGGGGAACTATTTTGAATCTTTGAATTATTACCTGTGTCACAAGTTAAAAAATACAACACAACACATTCATCATTCTGTTAAATAACAAGCAAATGAAGTTTCTGTCTCCTCCAAAGATAGTCCATAGTGATGACTCTCAAGGCTCTCAAAAAAATTGTACCCATGTTTTGGCCTCGGGTGAATAAACTATCTCTGAAAAGATTAGTATGTAAGCTATTACACATTATAGTACATAAGTGGCAATAAAGGACAAATCTATACACATACATGTATACTGTTTCCACTGGGTCTTCTGCTATACAGCCTTTTCCACTAAATTAACAATTAATATTGTGGGAAGATCCTCAAGCTTTCCTTTAAAGTGGCTTATAAATCAGTTTTATCTGTTCCCTCTAGATGCAAATCTAACATCCAATTAAGAAGTAGTGATGTATGTTTTTAAGTTGGTTACATAAGAAAGCACAGCAGTCTTGAGGTACTTTTGTCTGTTGGGGGTGTCAATATGTTATTCTTTCATACTCTGCTGAAATTGTTCAGAAAAAGAATCAGAAGGCAGTCATTTTAGACACAGAATCCAACAATACTAATAGTCCCTTAATTTTAGTATGCTTTGAGAAAAGAACATTATTTATCTCCCAACTAATTGCCATAAGGATCATATTCCCTCCTCACACATTTAAAACTCTTCTTTATCCTGGTTCATTTTAGAAGAGCATCTGTTAGTTGAAGCAGTCTTTGCAAACAGTTAAAAACAGACAAAGGAAAAAAAGTATCTAAACATGACATGTGCATGCTTCAATCATTCAGCTTTGTTTTAGCTAATTGTCCATTTTACATTGCTTTCAGTTCATTTCTTTTTAACCATTGAAAACAGTGTGTCTTACCAAGTTTGAAAAAAAAAGTAGGTCAGATTAAAAACCTTAAATGAATCACAAATTTTCCTTAAAGCAGTTAAACAAGTTAAAAAGTCTGTATGTCGATTGTACTATCTTTAACGAATGATTCTTGTCAGTTTATCAAAACTTTTGATTATTTATAAGATTATAAAAAAGAGGTTAGTTATTAAGCCTGTGTATCTTTTTGTAACTTGTTTTCTTAATTCCTAAATTACATTTCCAAAAGGTATAATAGGGCTAAGGAGGCAGCTCAGTGGTACAGCATTTGACAAATATGCAAGGCCCTGAGTTCAGTTCTCAGTACTGAAAAAAATTAAAGGGTATAACTAAATCTTAAATGGTTAATGAGTTTTTTGTCCCAATGACTCCTCTACTTTGCTGATAAAACTTTGATTCATAAAATTGGTTGTTGAGTTTTTTTTTGCTTCCAGTGCTTCATTTAATTTTTTTTAACATAAGCTCAATTTTATGTGAAATATAACCAGAGGGTTATATTTTTTTTCTTTCATTTTGCATGCTTTGGGGTGCTTCCTTATCTTTAACATTTTTCAGAGCTTAGTGCTAATACTTTTACTACTGTCAAAAGACTGTTTTTTCTTCTTCTTTCTTGCAACCATTTTTTAATAAAGTAAACTCAATATAATTGCTATTTTATCTTTTCAAAAATTATTTGAAAGAAACTATGTGTTTTACAAAAAGTGGAGCTGTGGCTTAAAGTGGTAGAGGGAGCTAGCTTTGAGCAACCTGAGTTCAACCCCCCCAATCAACAAAAAATAAAAATATATTAAGAAAGAAAATATGTATTTCCAGGTATTGATAATAAAACTAAAGCTTAGGAGAATCACTAAAGTTTTTAAGGTGATTTTTAAAGTTTCTTTATTTTCTAAAGTTTCTTTAGATTTTTAGATTACTTATAAAAATTCTTTTGATTATTTTCTTTAGATTGTTTTTAGTATCTGGCACCCTAATTTTTGTTGATGTATTACTAAAATACTTTGTTAGGATGTGCATTTTCCTGTTTCCCCCCCAAAAAAAATAAAGCTTTTAATTTAAAAAACTAAATAAAGTAGAGACTTGAAAAAATGTATATATTTTCATTATTTAGAATTTGAACTATTAGGGCTGGAAAGGTGGCTCAGTGGTAGAGCGCTTGCCTTGCATGCCTGAGGCCCTGGGTTTGATTCCTCAGCACCACATAAGAAAAAAGCTGTAAGTGGGCTGTGGCTCAAGTGGTAGAGCTCTAACCTAGAGCGCCCAGGCCCAGAGTTCAGGCCCCACGACCAGACCCCCCCCCAAAAAAAAAGAATATGAACTATTAGTCACCTAATTTTTTAAGTTTACCTTTACAACTACTACTAGGGAATTTAGTCACTCCATAAATAATTCTAATTACTTCTTGTCTTTATAGGACTATAGCCAGTCCATGCTTTCAAAGTAGTATGTTCCTCATCATTGTCTTCAGTGCTTTTCCAAGTATTTATAAAGTATCAAAGTACATATTTCATGTTTCATTATCACTCAGCAGCATGAGAATAATAGCTTTAATATAGCATACATAGCTGAAACTCAACATTCATTTCTGTCCTTAATTTCAACATTTAACTCCCATCTGTTCTTCTCCCTTTTTTCTTTCATTTTCCTGTTTCTGTTTTTCCTCATGCTCTGACATTAAAGTGGTTGCACTGAAAAGACTGCCCTTTTTGAGGAACAGACCGAAGGATAAAGACAAAATGAAGGCCTGCTACCGTCGTTCCATGTGTAAGACTTTATGACAGTTCAGCTTCTTTCAAATAACTACACTGGCTTCCATTATTAATTTTTCACTAACCATTCTCTGGACTGTGCTGATTTCTTATTTTGCAAAGCAAAGTGCAGTCTTCCTTTAATACGAAGAGCTAGAAGAATATTTTTTTAACTGCACTGCATTTGCATTATATGTATATCTACTGATACATATATGCATATATTTAGTAATACATGTAATATACTTGTAAATTTCCAGTGCTTTCTAAAAGTTGGCAGGAAAAAACACAAACTTGCCATAGAGAATTTTCCCCCCAAGAAATGTACTTAAGGAAAATACAATAAAACCATTAGCATTAGGCACTTACTTCCTGAATGAACCTAATTAAATAAATAAACAAATGGCCTACAACCCTTCAAAATGTTTGTCATTTCTTAGTCTGGGTTTTCTTTTTTTTTTAAGTGGATTAATTACATAATCAATGTCTGTCACTTTGGATATCTCTTTCAGGTTTTTATTCAATGGTATACTTATTTGATTTCTAAAATGAGTAATTTCTTCAGTAACCTGCTCTGACCAAGGACTCTTTCATTTGCAATAATGATGCTGTATAAGAATTGCATTTCATCTTCATTTTTATCACCACAAAACCACATTATGAAGGCTTCTAGCTATATTACACATCATTGTGCAAAATGCATGGCAATTGATCATAGTAAAATCCTTTCTGTCCTTTAAAAGGGGCAGAGGTGAAATATAAATATTTACTGAACTTTATCAGGGTTTGGCCTCCTCACTTCATTCAGCTGAATGCATTTCATAATTCAAATGACACTATGATTATTATTAGGTCCATGTTCATTAATTCATAGACAAAAACCAGATCATTTAGAATACAAAATAGAAATAAGACATTAACCATGCTGATTCATTTGCTTTCATTTGCATCCCAGCCATGAATGACCTGGTGCAGTCCATGGTCCTAGCAGGAGGACAGTGGACAGGTAGTACTGAGAATTTGGAGGTTCCTGATGATATTTCAACTGGTAAAAGGAGAAAAGAATTGGGAGCTATGGCCTTCTCTACTACAGCCATCAACTTTTCAACTGTCAACTCTTCTGCAGGCTTCAGATCCAAGCAGTTGGTTAATAATAAAGGTATAGGCCGTCTGCTGTTTGCACTGTGGTGTAACTGTTGACAACAAGAATTTTAATTTGACTTCCCATGTATTTTTCTTCCAAACAACCAAGAATAACTATCAACCATGATATAGATTTGATTTGGGGGAAATGTTCAAATCATTTCAAATATATAAATTATTACAAAAATAAGTAGAACTTTTCCTAGGTCTCTTTTCATAATAAGTTTATAAACAAGAAAAGAAGTAAGCCATTTAAAATTTAAAAAGGAGAGAGTAGTATATGTTTTAAAAAAAGATGCATACTACTTCAGGAAATCATATAGAACAAAAACAGAGGTTCTTTGCTTTGCTTTGCAGGATGACAAGAGAGATTATCTCATTGCTTCTGGCATTTTTCCTAAGTCGCCTCTCCTTATAGTTAACTTCTTACTCCTACTTCTTGCTGAGTTTATAAAATATGCTAGGTCAAGATGTATTATATGTGACTAAAAAACAATATTCATATTCTATATAAATTTTTATAATGAAATTATTTTGTTACAAAAATATGTTTATATCCATTTTGCTATTTTATGTAGATACTACATCCTTTGAAGATATAAGTCCACAAGGTATTAGTGATGATTCTAGTACGGGATCAAGAGTTCATGGTAAGATATGAATTTAATTAGATAGTATGAATTAAATACTAAATGGGAATGCTGAGACTCTTTTATGAATAGGTGAATGAGCCATTGCCAGAAAACATGTTTTCTCTGTCTTACATCTCATAGTTCTCTCATTTCTTCAGCTTAATAATTGCCTTAAAAATTGCTGTTTCATCTAAATGTACAGTATTTTAACTAAGAATAAGTACCTTCAGAAACCTCAAAAACAGTTAACTGTTTTTATATAAAGTTATTGTGAGTTGCATTTTACCATTGGTTTTAACTATTTTGGTAAAGTATTAAGAAAAAATTGTTGCAGTGTTGAATATCTTAGTTTTTTGGGGTTTTTTTGTCATTCATGGGGCTTGAGCTCTGGTTCTGAGCTCTGTCCCTCAGCTCTTCAGCTCAAGGCTAGTGCTGTACCACTTGAGCCACAGAGCCAGTTCTGGTGGTTTATTGGAGATAAGAGTTTCATAGCTAGCCATGTGCCAGTGGCTCACGCCTGTAATCCTAGCTACTCAGGAGGCTGAGGTCTGAGGATCACGGTTCAAAGCTAGCCCGGGCAGGAACATCCATGAGACACTTATCTCCAATAAACCACTGGAAAACCAGCAGTGGCATTGTGGCTTAATCGGTAGAGCGCTCGTCTTGAGCTAAAATGCACAGGGACAGTTTTTCCTGCCCGGACTGACTTTGAACGGTGGTCTTCAGATCTCACCCTCCTGAGTAGCTAGGATTATAGGCATGAGCCACTAGCACCTGGGGAATATCTTAGATTTTTAAGTTTCCATCTGGAAAATCATATCTTACCAGACTAAATTATTATTAACATGGATAATATGGTAAAGGAAATTGATACATCAGCAGGATTTTAAGAAGTAGCATAGGCAGTGATAACTATATAATTGTTTCTCTTTTATGGATAGGAACACAGGGCATTAACTCTGTAAATGCTCATATTCCTCTTCATGACACATCTGTAATGTGCAGGGTTCCTTGTTTGGTATGTTCTAAGTGATCTAATCACTAGCATTTTGGCGCAGCATCATTCTGTTCAACTAAAACAGTTGTAGAATTTATCTAGAAATAATTTTCAAGTATAAATATGTCTTTCTTTTGAATGTCAGCTATTGTTTTAGAAGTGTCCTATTCTCGTGTCGTACTGAACTATCTGGAAATGTCTTTGCTTTTTAACTCTATAAGATCCACTTGTGGACATGCTCAACCTGGGAAAGTATGCATGATTACTTTCTTAAACATCAGAATTCAGTATTATCAACTGGAAATCTTTTATCACACTGTCTCCTGATTTTTTCATTTAGCTTCAAGACCAGCCAGCCTTGATAGTGGCAGAACATCCACTAGCAATAGCAATAACAATGCTTCACTCCATGAAGTCAAAGGTATGCTGTAGGTAAATTTAATATACTCCACCCATTTCCAGTACATACATAGGTGGGAGAGGGGCAAAGAGTAAAAGCTCAATAGTAGAGCACATGGGCTGGCAATGTGGCTTAGTTCAAGAGTGCTTGCCTCGCATGCATGAGGCCCTAGCTTCGATTCCTCTGTACCACATATGCAGAAAAAGCCAGAAGTGGTGCTATGGCTTAAGTGGTAAAGTGCTAGCCTTAAGCAAAAGGAGCTCAAGGATAGTGCCCAGGCCCTAAGTTCAAGTCCCATAGCTGGCAAAAAAAAAAAAAAAGTAGAGCACATGCTTAGCACATACAAGGCCCTGAGTTCAGTCCCTACCACCAAGTGGGAAAATATTAGAGATGGTATGAAGATTTTTGGAGGTAAATCCATATCACTTATGTTTGAAACATAGTTCTTTGGAACATTTACACTTTTTACATTGTAATACAGATGTATTTCAATGTATACGAATGTAAAAACAGGAACAGTTATTTTGGTGGTTTTAGCTTTTATCTTCACAGATAAAAGTCTTATTATAATCTTTATACTTGATAATTATCTGTAGCTTTTGATTTTTTCTGACATCTAAGTGTCTAATTTTTTATGCTTCATGTACATTAAACCTGCATTACTCATGTATTACAAAATACTGGGCTGGGAAGGTGGCTCAGTGGTAGAGCACTTGCCTTGCATGCATGAGGCCCTGGGTTTTATTCCTCAGCACCACATAAGCAAAAAGAAAAAAGCCGGAAGTGGCACTGAGGCTCAAGTGGTAGAGCGCTAGCCTTGAGCTGAAGGAGCTGAGGGACAGTGCCTAGGCTCAGAGTTCAGGCCCCAGGACCGGATCCAAAAAAAAAAAAAAGAAAGAAAGAAAATAGTGTAGCTTGTTTATGTAAAATTTGAGAAGCAGTTTTGTGTATGTGTGTTTCACAAGAATTTTATGGGTACAAATATACCCTATATAACAAATGGAAATATTTTTTCTTAATCTTAAAGTATTGTGTAAGATATTTATATGAATAGCTAGAAACTGGCTGACCCTTTTTTCCTTCAAACTTTACTATCTTTTTCAAATTCTTGGAGGCATTTAACCCATTATTGTTATTTTGGGTAGTCCAGAATTGTTGCGTAATACATCTGTTGTATTACTTTTGGATAAAAAAATTGTTTCAGTTATAATTTTATCATTAATGTTATGACTATTTGTGATAATATGAAATATGGAGGAGATAATTTTTTGGTTCATTTTATGTCTAGAAGAAAAATACAGTCCTAAAGCATGATAGAAGAAAAATATAATCTGAAAGCATGAAGAATTTCACCCAGTTTTAAAATCTTATTTCTGGAAACCATTAAATAACTTGAAACAAATTTTTCCCCTTTACATTTTGTGTTTAGAAAACTACTTATTGTCAGTTTGCTATTTATCAAAACCAGTAGTAGTATTACTGAATAGCACAGATTTAGTGAGTTTATTCCATAACTTGCTAATTTCTGTTCTGTATAGTTCAACCACAACTGAGTCTTTCAAGGTTATCTAGATAACATACAAACAGTAGACAGCAAGAACAATCAGGTAATTCAGACATTAAGTAATGTCAGGTGCTAGGGGCTCACGCCTGTAATCTTAGGTACTCAGGAGGCTAAGATCTGAGGCCAGCCTGGGTAGGAAAGTCCATGAGACTTATCTCCAACAAACTGCCAAAAAGCCAGAAGTGGAGCTGTGGCTTAAGTGGTAGAGTGCTATCCGTTGAGTAAAAGAAGCTTAGGAACAGCACTCCAGCATTGAGTTCAAGCTCCTGGATCAGCTCCTATGACAAAAAAAAAAGATTAAAAATAAAGTAAACTGAATTAATTGGTCAGGCACTGGTGGTTCACTCCTATAATCCTAACTACCCAAGAGGCTGAGATCTAATCCAGGTGCCAGTGGCTCATTGCCTGTAATTGTAGCTATTATTCAGGAAGCTGAGATTTGAGGATTGAGGTTCAAAGCCAGCTTGGTCAGGAAATCTATGATACTCATAAATTAACCTCCAGCTTAACCACCAAATGGCTGGAAGTGAAGCTGTGGCTCAGATGGTAGAGCATTACTCTTGAGTAAAAATCTCAAGGACAGCCAGGCAATGCGACGATGGCTCACACCTGTAATCCTAGCTACTCTGGAGGCTGAGATCTGAGGATCTCTGTTGAAAGCTAGCCTAGGCAGTAAAGTCTGTGACACTCTCATCTGCAATTAAACACTAGAAAATGGGAAATGGCACTGTGGCTCACTTTAGAATACTCGCTTTTAGCTGAGGAGCTCAGGGACAGTGCCCAAGCCCAGAGTTCAAGCCCCACACTGACAAAAAAATTTTTTTCCAAGGACAGTACCCAGGCCTGACAGTACCCAGCCCCAGGATTGGAACAAAAAAAAAAAAAACTGAGATATTTTGGCTCTTTTTTTTTTTTTTTGGTGCAGGTCCTATGGCTTGAACTCGGAGCCTAAGCCCTGTCCTGAGCTTTTGCTCAGAGGCTAACACTCTGTCTCTTGAGCCTACAGCTCCACTTCCAGCTTTCTTGGTAGTTTAGTGGAGATAAGAGTCTTGGGGACTTTCCTACCTGAGCTGGTTTCTAACCATGATCCTCAGATCTGAGTCTCCTGAGTAGCTAGGATTACAGGTATGAGCCACTGGTGCAAGCCACCAGTACCAGGCTTGAGGAACACAGTTTTAAACCAACCTGGGCAGGCAAATTTGTGAAACTCAACTCCAAATAACCAGCAAAAGGCCAGAACTAGTAAAGTATTTGTCAGGTTTTAGAGCATCAGCCTTAAGTGCCAAAGAAAGACAAATAAGAACATGGGGCACTTGAGTTCAAGCCTGGCACACATAAAAAAGAAAACAAAATAGCTCGGGAAGCTAAGGAAGACGCATCATAAATTCTAGGCAAGGGCTGAGAATATAGCTTAGTGATAGAGTGCTTACTTAGCATGCATGAAGCCCTGAGTTCAGTTCTTCAGTCAATAAGTTGAAACAAAATTTTCCATGACCCCTTTATGCTTTGTGAAACCATATGCTTTATGCTTAGAAAACCATAAACAAAAAAGGCCAGAAGTGGCACTGTGGCTCAAGTGGTAGAGTGCTGGCCTTGAGCAAAAGAAGCTCAGAGACAGTGCCCAGGCCCTGTATTCAAGCCCCAGGACTGGCAAACTAAAAAATAAAACTAATGAAATAAATTCTAGGCCATCTTGGGCTATATATACATATCTACTTCCAGGCCTATATTGCTTCTGGCTTTATTAATTAGTTGGATCTTAATATTTATAGAAATTTTTAAATTAATTGTCATGTCTTTACTTGGTTTTTAAATTTATGTTTCCTCATTTAGAATGAACAGAAAAAAACATGGTTTTGTAAGCAAATAATTAGAATATGCTATTTTTGCATTTAAAATCTTGGGCTTTAACCTTATGAATAATTGAAAATGTATATAATCAAGTCCTAATTCTAAATTTTGAATTATTTATTTTTACAGTTATTTGGACCTGAATTTAAACAATTTATCATTCAATTTACTTGTTTATTTAATCTTCAAATGTACTTAAGTGCTTGCTTTGTAGTGGACTGTTTAAATTTGACTTTTGTGGTAAGAGCAAGTTTTTATCCTTGTAATGCTTAAAATACTTGTCAGTTCGATAAAATAAAGAAAGCTCTGGCAGACAGTTGTTGATTTCATTGAAGACTAACATGGTTTACTAAGCATCTCTTAAAGCTTGAATATTAAGTTTGGCTATTCATGGAAAAAGCCCACTTAATAATTTTATTGCTTACAATCTGATTTCTATTACTAAAGTCTCAACAAAGCATTTATTCTAAAAGCAGGTGCAGTTAATAACCAAAGCAGGCCACAAAGCCACAGCAGTGGAGAATTTAGCCTGCCTCATGATCATGAGACTTGGTCCAGCAGTGGTAGCAGTCCAATCCAGTACTTGAAAAGACAAGCCAGATCAAGTCCAGTGCTCCAGCACAAAATGCCAGAAACACTAGAAAGTCGAGGACTTCATAAAATTAAAATTGGTTCCCCTGGAAGTGAAGTCGTTACTCTACAACAGTTTCTGGAAGAAAGCAACAAGCTTACCTCAATACAGGTTAGTTTTATGTGGGGTGACCTTTAATATGATTAAAGCTAAGCATTGGCAGGTCACTGCAGTATTTCTAGCTACACAAGAAACTGAATCTTAGGGTCATGATTTGAAACCAGTCAATACCCAGCAACCAACAGACTGGAGGGAGTCACTCAAGGAGTGGAATGCTTGCAGTGACGGCGCGGGGTTGGGGGGGATGTTTGTTACTAAAATGGGCATACATAACACATGTCAGTAATCCTAGCTGTTCAGGATCCTGAGAGCTGGAGGATCATAGTTCAAATCCTTCCCAGGCAAGAAGAAAAGAGGGGGAGGGTGCACTGGAAGTGTGGTAGAGTGTTAGCCTAGCAAGCATGAGACCTTGAGTTCGCATCGGGTCCTGACAAAAAGAAAAAGAAGGAAAGAATGGAAAAAAACAGATATTGAAGCTGGGCACTGGTGGCTCACACCTATAATCCTTGCTACTCTGGAGGCTGACATCTGAGGATCGTGGTTCAAAGCCAGCCCAGTCAGGAAAGTCTGTGAGACTCTCACCTCCAGTAAACCACCAGAAAACTCGAAGTGGCACTGTAGCTCAAGAGATAAGAGTGTTCACCTTGAGTTGAAGAGCTGAGGAACAGCACCCAGACCCAGAGTTCAAGCCCCATTACTAAAATTTAAGCAAAACAGCTATTGTACTGCTTAGTATATCATGAAAATGTTTATATGGCTATACTCAAACCGTGCATGGTGGTATATACCTATAGTTAAAGCTACCTGGGAGATAGAGACAGGAGGATAGTGAGTGAGAAGCCAACACTTAAAAGCTTCATAAGACTGTCTCAGAACAGCAAGGCGTGGTATTCACTAACCTGTTTCATTGTTTTTTAAACAGCTAAAGTCCTCAAGTCAAGAGAATCTTTTAGATGAAGTAATGAAAAGTTTATCTGTTTCTTCTGACTTTTTGGGAAAAGACAAGCCAGTTAGTTGTGGTCTGTCCAGGTCAGTAAGTGGAAAAACCCCAGGGGACTTCCATGACAGACGGACAACTAAGCCTGAGTTTGTGAGACCTGGTCCTCGAAAGACTGAAGATGCCTACTTCATTGGTTCTACAGGAAAGTCTGCATCAGGCACTCAAGGAAAGATAAAACTAGTAAAAGAAACCTCTCTGTCAAGACAATCAAAAGATAGCAATCCTTATGCCACTTTACCTCGTGCAAGTAGTGTGATCTCCACAGCCGAAGGAACAACACGGAGGACAAGCATACATGATTTTTTGGCCAAGGACAGTAGACTGCCTTTGTCAATTGATTCTCCACTGCCTACTGCTGATAGCAACATCACTGCAGCGTCTAGTGAGTACCATTTACCTCAGTGGTCCTCTCACACTCTTCATGGTCCTACACCTTTTAAAGGTTTTTATACTCAGAATAATTTAGCTACAGATATGCCTGAGTCTCTGTATGACCAAGCTAGAAACTCAAGAACAAAAAGATCATTGTTTCTAAACCAAACTTTTGCCACTGTCAAAATACATAATGATTCATTTGGAGTATCAGCTAAAGATAGTGTAGAGTCTTTTACTGTGATTCATTCATCTCAGCCATTTCTTTCCTTAAACACAGAATTAGTTAGTAACATAAGTGGGTTACCTCCCAAGCTCATCACAAGAGTAACTAATCAGGCTTCTTCTTCGAGTAAAACTGCACAGAAAGACAATGAACAGTTTCCTGACAGTCAGAGTCCTAGTTACAGTAACCCACAATCCTCTGTAGATAGTAATCTTATCATTCCTGCATGCCTATGTCCTGATGACGTAGAAGCTGCATTGTTGGTTTCTGAGGATAATCAAACTGTTTGGTATGAATATGGTTGTGTATGACCCAAACTGCATAATGATGTTACTTGATATGCACTGTACTTCTTTGAAGACTTGCTGTTGAACACAATTATTTAGTTAGGTCTGTATTTTTATTTTTAAATTGTTGCATAGAATTCAGCTGTACATGATGGCATGTATATAAATGTGAATGTGTAACCATACCAAAGCCAGCATGAATTATTAGTTACCTTGTACATTTCTGCATGCATTTTGAATTCTCAATCATGCATGTTCCTCTTAGTAGTTTGATATCCAGAAGCATGTTAAAATAGTTGCATGTTTTTTACCAAGAAGTCATATCCAAGTGATTTGCTTTGTTGCTTCCAAAAAGGAATGTTTTTTCCTCTATTCCTCCCACGCTTGCCCCTCTTTCTTGCTCTTCTTTCTTTGGTTTCCAGAATATGCACTTCTTGTTGCACGTTACAATATTAGTAAGAAAATATGTAAAAATACATTAGTCTTTCGTTTATCCTTTATACCTTCTGTCCTGTTACATATTTAAAGAAATACTTTATGATTCAATTTAATTTTAATTAATGTCCATGTTGATAAACCCTTTGTCAGATTTAAAACATTGTTTTTTGAAAATGTAGTGTTATTCCTAGAAATCTCAATCAAATTTAAATGTAATTACACAGTAATTAGGAACATTGTATTCTTTTTGTTCTTTGTACTTTGTACATCTGATAAATAGTTCAAATATTATCTTTCCATCAAGATGACTGACTTACTTAACATGAAATCAGTTATTTAATAGTTTCTCCAGTTCTTTTTCTATATACGAGTCAAAGAGAAATAAACCAAATCACACTTAATATGTTGGGAAATGGTATTTTTACTTCTATGCAAAATGATAGCAATATCACTAACTTACTAAAGTATAGATGTTCTTAAAACATTTTAAATGCATTTATATTTTTAAAATACTTTGCACTATAAAACAATGACTTGTGGGCTGGGAAGGTGGCTCAGGAGTGCTTGCCTTGCATGCATGAGGCCCTGGGTTTGATTCCTCATCACACCACGAACGCAGAAAAGGCCAGAAGTGGCATTGTGGCTCAAATGGTAGAGCACTAGCCTTGAACTGAAGAGCTGAGGGACAGTACCCAGGCTCAGAGTTCAGGCCCCACGACCGGCAAAAAAAAAAAAAAAAAAACACTTGTAACAATTTTAACAAGTATATATCAATTCTTGGATCTAAAATTTACCCTATTACAAACATACTTTAGTAAAACAAACATTCTGAAGATACAAGATACACACAACTGTAAAGTCTGACTCACATATCATAGGCTTTTAGTAGAGTTGTGGCTCAAGTAGTATAGTTGGTCTTGAGCAGAAAAAAATACCTTAGGCTTTTAAATTGTCTGTGTTCAGATTACTTAGAATAAGTCAGCTAAAATCGAATCTCAGAATATTTTTAGAGAGGGGGCAAAAAAATCTGTTGTAACCCTGATTTACTTCTAGAAGAATGTCTAACCTCTGGAATGATTTTGCCATTTTGGTTCAGGCTAAACAATCAGTATTTAGGCTGAACCAAAATGACAAAAATCACTAGGCACTGATTGCGCATGCCTATAGTCTTAGCTACACAGATGGCTGTGATCTAAGGATCGCAGTTCAAAGCTAGCCTAGCCAGAAAAATTGGAAGCCAGTCTGTGGAGTAAACTGTATGAGACTCTAATCTCCATCAACCAGAAAAAAAGCCAAAAGTGGAGGTGTATGTGGCTCATGTTGCAGAATGCTAGCCTTTAGCGAAAAAGCCAAGCAAGAGCAAAAGGCCCTTAGTTCAAGCCCCAGTATGGTCACCCCCCCCCCCAAAAAAAGTGAACAGAAACTTTGTATAGTGAAATTTATATTTACATCTTTATAAACTGAACTAACGTCTTGTACTTATGCAAGATCATTTCAGGGTTAAGTCCCTGAAATGTTGTTAGCCATGGTTCTCCCCCACCTCATAGCTTTTACTAAAAATAATTATAGTACAGGTAATCAGATGAACACAGTCAGAAACTTCCTATTTTAGTACCATTTTCTACATTAATGCATCATACTATTTTACTGTCAGTTTTTACCTAGTGAGTCCTAATACTTGAAGTATTTTTGGTGCTAATGTTTCCTTTTTTCTTATAACCTAGGAATAAAATTTAATGATAATAACTGAATTAGTTGTGATTAGATAAGGGACATACATGACACAAAAATAATGGCTAATATATCTTTTCCATGATGATTCAAACATTATTTTACAACTATTTCAAATTTTTAGGTTAGATGTCATAAATTTGGCCATTATACTTTCAATTTGAAATATTAACCTCAGTCATTCAAAATTACTTAAAAATCATTTACTCTTTTATTTAAAGCTATATAGTTACTTTACAGACTTGAATTATTTCCTACCAAATGGTTATAGCTCATGTTATTAACCTCAGTCATTCAAAATTACTTAAAAATCATTTACTCTTTTATTTAAAGCTATATAGTTACTTTACAGACTTGAATTATTTCCTACCAAATGGTTATAGCTCATGTTTTCAGAAAGAATATATACAGTATGCAGGCATGACAAATACCTTGTATGTATATATGTTGAAGCGTATTTGACAATTCTTCCAAAAACCATCACCAACTGTCAAATATTAAGTTCTCCAAACAACACTAGTATCTTACCTGTGTTTCTTCACAGCATATGGAAACACATGTTTAATTATTTTCAAAAAACCTTTCTCTTCAATTTTTCAAATTAGCATAATGAAAATTCACATAGCTGTCCAAAATTATTTGAAGCAGCTATTCTTATTTCCTCTAAGACACTCCATAAATATTTACATAGTTTCACCATTCACCAAGGATTAGAATTAGAAAACTGAAGATTCAGTACCCTGATTGTAATCAAACTGAATAGCTTTTGTATTCCTGGCTTATCTTTCTAGAACTTATACAATATAATTTGTGAGGTACTATGAATCACATGTTATGTCCACTTTGAGCAAGGCAGTCAGTGTTAAGTAGGTATACTGTAAAGTAGATATATTGCAAAATAGCCTTAGAATTACTTTTCTTTTCTTTTTCCCAGTCATGGGGGTTGAAGTATGGGCCTGGGCGCTGTCCCTCAGCTGTTCAGCTCAAAGCAAGTGCTCTACCACTTGACCCACGTCACCGCTTCCAGTTTTCTGGTGATTTATCGAAGACAAGAGTCTCACAGACTCTCCTGCCCTGGCTGGCTTTGAACAGTGATCCTCAGATCTCAGCCTCCTGAATAACTAAGATTACAGGCATGAGCCACTGGCTCCCAGCAGGACTAATTTTCCTAGTAAATCATATAAATATTTCAATGTGGTTATTTCTTCTGTTGTATTACAATATTGTTTTTTATTTTAAAACTTTGGTGACCATTTAATATATAAACATAGTAAGTGTTACATATGCAAAAGCCTTCTGACAGTAAGAAGGAAGAAATAATTGTTCCAGGTTTTTTAAAGAGTTACAGCTTTCATAAGGTTATTTGTGGTTTTAGAGTATAAAAATCAGTCTTTAGGTAATGAGACTAATCAGATTAATAATTTTCCCACACATTTAAAACATCCTTCTTGCCTAGTGAGAGCTCTTTATTAGTTTCTTGTCATGAATTATGTTGTTTAACCTTTGACTAAATAACATGAAATGCTTTTCTCCTGCAGATGTGGACAAAGTACAAGAAAGCAGAAATTCAAAAAGCAGGTCTAGGGAGCAACAAAGCTCCTAATTCTGTTACCCACTACATGACATGTGGGCCAAGTGGTGAGTTAACTACTTCAACTGTAAATGAGATTAGTCTCATTTATAAAACTAACCAAATTAAGTACGAGAACAAGTGCATATTGCATTAACAGATGTAAATATTGCTTGCTTGATTCATTGCTTTTTCTGACATACTTACTAGCAATTTGTTGCCAAAGGTTTTTGCCTGTCAGTTTAGGACTCAAATCGTTGAAAGCTACTTTCCCCTCAATTTCAACTTACCTTTACTAGCAAATAACATTGTGTTTTGTGGCAAGAATACAATTTTCCCCATAACTTTCTTGATTAAGAAGAAAGGTAACTCAGTGGTAGAGTGCTTGCTTGCCTTGCATGCATGAGGCCCTGGGTTCAATTCCTCAGCACTACATAAGCAGAAAAAGCCAGAAGTGACACTGTGGCTCAAGTGGTAGAGTGCTAGCCTTGAGCTGAAGAGCTGAGGGACAGCACCCAGGCCCAGAGTTCAGGCCCCACAACTGACTAATAATAATAATAATAAACAACTAGATGCTTATTTTATGAAAAGCCTCTCAAAAGTTGTATCTGATTTTCCTGTCACATCTGCATTCTAATAGAAATATCTGATGCATGCTTTCTAATTGAGGCTGCTCTGTAAAGTTTATATCCCTCTTCTCTATTCTTACATTTTCTTTCTTTCTTTCTACCTTCCAACTAAATGCAGAGAGAAAAGTGCCCTTCAGTTTCTCAGTGTGAAGCTTTTTTCTGAAGTAACAAGACACCTAGCAACTATAGGAGCCATTTCTTAAAAATCTTTAAGGAGACCTTTAACAATCCTTCGTGAATAGAGCAGGCAAGAAATACAAACCTTCATTCCTTCCTTGAATCAAGGAGCTCTACTGGATTCAACTGCCAAAAGTTTTAGAAGGTTTTAGGACTTAATATATTGTATCATTAAGCTCTTCTGAATAAAGGACATTCTCTCACTAAGGACCAAGTGTTTCAAGGTCAAATGTTATAAGAAGTATTCCAAGAACAGTCTACTTTTCATCAGTTATGAATTTATCCATGTTTGCTTAATGCTAAGTATTAGCCAAAATCTAGCCATTTATATTTAGTTGTGTAAACCTAAATTAAATGCTGTAGTATTTTGTGGAATGTACTTATATATCAAGATACAGAGGAAAAAAAATGTTTTGGCATGTTATAACGAGCCTTTTTTTGGTTAGCAGACTGCATGTGTTGGTACTTTTCTTTTGAGGCCAGTTACTTTGGTGCACTCCAGAAGAAATTCAGTTTATAAAATACATCTGAAAAATACATGAGATATATTATAAACAGCATAAGTTATATTATTTTTCCATATTCCCATCAAGCAACACTTAACAGGCATACATGGACCCCAGATAAAAGTGGTTTTTTGAGACCTTTTTAGGATCGTTTTCCAGCAAGGCATTCCCAAGATAAAGCTGTTGTTTTAGCTCATTTCACTTCTTTGCTGTTGGGTTATGTAAGTGTGTGTTTTTTTAACTTGAGAGCTGATTATTGCTTAAGAAGTTTTCTTATGGCAAAACAAATAATGTAAATAATTTATTATGATCTGCAATTTGCCAAGAACTCATTTATTATTAATGTTATCATTTATTAATAAGGATTTTTGTTTTGTCCTTTATAATATTACATTAAAGTTGATAACTGGTACTTTTGAAATATTTGTATGTTTGTTACCTTAAACATTTGGAAGAAGCACAAAAAGTAGGTTTAGTTAACCCAGGGAAACATCAATTTTTAGTAGTTCCAATTTTATATCACAGGTTTATTTTCTTATGAAGTAAAATGCAATGAATGCATTGATGCAAGTTCATTGTTCAACATAAAACTATCAGAATAATCTTCTGAAATGAGAAGATACTGACTTATTTTAACAGTGTACTTCTTAGGCTCTCATTACCAGCTCTAAAGAACTTTTTGGAATAATTCCATGTTCCATAATGTTGTTTATGAACTACATACATCATCACTAACCCAGTAACCACGAGAAAAGCCTCTCTTCACTGTCTGTCTGACTCTCTCTCCTTTTGGTAAGTGGTAGGCCAGTAGCAATGTGTGTTTAGTCCCTTTGGAAAGGCCACCAGTAAAAAAGAGACAGCATGTTTAGTTGTCCAGAAAGTTATATCGAAAGATAGCTTGGATTTATTTTAACTCAGTGCCACCATCAATGTAGGTTTTGCCAGCAAATAATGCTGTAAGATCACTTTGAAACTTTTGGATGAAAGGTGCTATGTAAATGTAAATACAAAGCATTCATAATGCAATACAAATATTGCACGACAAAATATTTAAAATGTATACTCTAGACTGTGAAATACCTCTCTCCATCATGACACCCTGGATTCAAGTACATAATTGGTAAATGGGTATTATGGAAGCCTAGAGACACTTTCATGTAAAAATTGTAAATTAATCTTGAGTTATGTAAGTTGAAAGTAAATGTAGAATTACGTTTTAGCTAAATAAAGTGGGTAACTTAGATTTATATTAACTAGCATCAAATTTGCACAACTAGGACATATCCCAGGACAGTTACTGAAAGTTGAGACTTAATGAGTGTGAGATCTGGTGAGAGTGAATGATAGCAGTTTGACCTCTCCACAGTACTAATATCCTAAATCAGAACATTTCTGAGGTAGCCAAACACACTACTGTTTCAAAGGAAAACACTGAATGACAGGCTGTAAAGTACTAAATTGAAGTAGGCTGACCCTGAGAAAGACAGATAAAACCAATTTTAAAATCTCGTGACTATATATATAACATACAAATATACTCAATTATGTTCATTACCTTTTAATACCATTTCAAGAAAGGACTCAGAAGTAGGGAACCTATTTTTGCCAAGAGCTATTTGGATATTACATTGTTTAAAGGTCATCAATACAAGTAGACAGTCAAGGGAAGCTGATGAGACATATACCAGAAACTTGCATGTGTGTCCCATCATGTACCAGATGATTTTGAGGCCCTTCTTAGGAGACGTTCCCCACCCCTACACCAGCTAATTACATGGAAAAGCTATCCTCAGAGGAAGTTTGTAAGAAGCCACTCTTTTCCTTTAACCTTCTGCCAAACAGAATAGTAAGGTGAATTTATCAGGGCCATTTTCATAACATGCTTTCAATCTGGCTGTATTCTAAGACAATGCCTAAACCCCCAAGGAAACTGAAAAAAATTCAACATACAGGGTAATAGTTTCAGCCCAGAGCTCTAATGTACTTCAGATCTGACCATAAAGTATTTTGGCCCAAGTTTTTGAATGGTGGTTACCAAAGAATTCACAACCTTATATGTAGCACCTTTCATGGCAAAGCCTATTTAAAAATCACTGTGCATATTATAGAATTGTACCACCTCACAAGTGAAGTACTACAGCCTGTACTGTCTTAAGTTTCTGTCAAGAAGTGAAAACATTACTGTACCAAATCTGGAATTATAATGGGAAATAATAATGTATGTTAAATTACTTGTATTTTAAGTTACTTTTTATGAAAAAAAGTGGTAAACTGTCTTTTTCTTTTCAGCTACTTAGTCCTGAAATGTATTCTTTTCTTTAACCCTTGAATGAAAATACAAAAGGAGCCCATTTTATAATATAAACCTTGATGTACATGTTGAGATATTTGAACAGTGAAAATGCCTTAAAAGGAATGCTTAATGGATAATGTTGCACTTACAACACCTGTTAACAAAACCTGATTTTAAATTGTCTTTTACTTCTAAGGGGTTTCTTCAGTGTTTGCTATTGTACTTAATAATTGTTATTAAAACCAAATCAAGTAATACAAAATCTGTAACATTTCCTTTAAAACTAATGCTAATGAAGGATTTGAATGCCAAAATGTTTTATTACTTGGCAATACCTATTAGCCATAGGATTCCAACTCATGACAAGAGACACCATTGTTTGTCTTTTTAAAACCTTTTCATTTTAGTTTAATTTTGTTTCTTTAAAGATTAAGTTGGATTATGGATTAACATTCATTTTCTGATATAAAAAGAAATAAAGCAGGTAATATTTATAACAAGTGATTAGTAATCATTTAAAAATTTTGTTTTATCCAAATGCTATTCTTTGCTTTAGAGAACAGTTTTCAGACACAGCCTATAATTTTTATATAGATTATTTTGGTCCTAATCATTTGCGAATGAGTGCTAACAAGTTTGGGGAGTAAGATTAGTATTAGTTCCATCTGTCTCAACATAGGTTTCAATACAACTTACAGATAGTCCAACTAATCTGAAGGCAGTTTACCAAGACCCTTAGTGGATACCTGAATTTCAACCACAAATAGTACTACGTCCTATCTGAACAGAGTTTTCCTACCATACATTGCTGAAATAATTTATTACATAGGTCCAGTAAGAGATTGACAAGTATAACTAGTCATAAAACCATTATGATAAAAATTACATGAATATTATCTTTTTGAAATATACCTGTATTATTGTACTCTTTGGGTGTTTTTTATTGTGCCAGGCCTAGGGTTTGAGCTTAGGACCTGGGAGCTATCTCCAAGTGTTTTTGGTAGTTAAAGGTACATCTCATGGACTTTGCTGCCCAGGCTGGCTTTGACCTGCAGTCCTCAGATCTTAGCCTCCTGAGAATTTAGGATTACAGGCATGAGCCCCTAGTGCCCAGCTGTGCTTTTTTCCCCCCTGGTGATGCAAGATAAAATACCTATATGAGTTGAAGAGAGGCATGTGAGGTCAGTGACTAGGCAGTATGACATGGAAACTAGCACTTGATATCACCATAGTTGATAATACAATCAGCCTGATTAACCAAAAATGCTATAAGTGAATAATAGGCATGTAGTGTGGTTATACTGGACAAAGAATTCAGTGACGTATGAAATCGTACACTTAAGCAATTAAAAAAAAATGTATGAGGGGCTGGGAAGTTGGCTCAGTGGTAGAGTGTTTGCCTTACATGCATGAGGCCCTGGGTTTGATTCCTCAGCACCACATAAGCAGAAAAAAGCCAGAAGTGGTGCTGTGGCTCAAGTGGTAGAGTGCTAGCCTTGAGCTGAAAAGCTGAGGGACAGTGCCCAGGCTCTGAGTTCAGGCCCCACAACTGACCAAAAAAAAAAAAGTATGAATTTTTTGTTCCTGGAATTTCCTGGAGTAGTTGAGCACAGACAACTGAAACTTCTAGAAGCAAAATCAGTAAGAAGTGAGAAGCTGGGCTGGGAAGGTGGCTCAGTGGTAGAGCGCTTGCCTTGCATGCCTAAGGCCCTGGGTTCGATTCCTCAGCACCACATAAGCAGAAAAAATAAAAAAAAAGCCGGAAGTGGCACTGTGGCTCAAGTGGTAGAGTGCTATCCTTGAGCTGAAGAGCTGAGGGACAGCGCCCAGGCCCAGAATTCAGGCCCCACTACCGAACCTCCCCCCCCCCAAAAAAAAATCACCTTAAAGAAGTGAGAAGCTACAAAAATTAATTTTTCATTTTCACTTAGACTTTTTGGGGGAAGAGGGTGTTGGTTGTGGGGCTTGAACTCTTGGCCTGGAGGCTGTCCCTGAGCGCAGCAGCTCAAGGGTGGCGCTCTATGTGAGCTAAAGCGCCACTTCCGGTTTTCTGGTGGTGAATTGGAGATAAGAGTCTCAAGGACTTTTCCTACTCAGGCTGGTTTGTGTTGAACAGCCATCCTCAGCTCTGACCTTCCTGAGTAGCAAGGATTACAGGTATGAGCCACTGATGCCTGGCTCAGACTATCTTTTGACGCATTTTTTCTCATTTCTCAACTTATTTTCATATAGCAGACCACATGTGCCAGGTCCACAATTATACTATTCCTTCATTTTATGTGTATTATCAACCTTAAAACTGCCTTAGTAAAGACTAAACACGTAACCTATTTTACCTTCCAATATATCTTTTCCACATATTTTTGAAGGCTCAAAAGGAAAATACCCTATTTAGAGACTTGGAGGATCCCAGGCAGAAAAATCCACCAGACCACCATCTCAAAAAAAAAAAAAAACCAAAAAACAAAGCTGGGCTGGAGGTGTGACTCTAGCATGCCAGATGAGCTAGCTCAGGACCTTAGTTCAAATGTTAGTGCCACTAAAGGAGAAAGGGGAGGGGAGGAAAACCCTATATTGTATAAGAGGAAAGTTAAGATTTTCTTCTCACTTAAGTCCTGGGGCTTGAACTCAGAGCCTGGGTACTGTCCCTGAGCTTTTGTAAAATCTCAAGGCCAGCACTCTCTACCACCTGTAGCACACCTCCCCCCCCCCTTTTTTTTTAATGTTAACTAGACATAGACTTTTCTGCCCTAGTTGGCTTCAAACTGTGACCCTTAGATCTCAGCCTCCCGAGTAGCTAGGATTATGAGCCACCAGTCCCTGGCCCAAAGAATAATTTCTGTAATCTAACCTATGTTGGTTTATCAACTACTAAAAGCTTTTGTTTGAATCTAAGTTAGGTGAAAAAAACTTGTCTGATTTCTCATTCTTCATGTTTTTCTGTTACAACTGTCTGTACATTTTCCTAGGCTTTAATACTGTTTCAGGTATCGTAACTGTGGCGGGGGGGGGGAGGGTTCTAGAAATAGGATTGTAAAATAGTGTAGAATATAAAACAAACTTCACATTCTTAACCTATGAACACACTAAAAATTGTTTATTGTTTATATTATTTTGCTACTGAGTTTAAAATGTAATCTTATAGTATGACAATTTGTCACATTTTTCACCTACTTTTTCTAACCAGAAAAACATTTTTTTTTGGTCACTCATGGGGCTTGAACTCGGCCTGAGTGCTGTCCCTCAGCTCTTCAGCTCAACGGTGAGCACTCTACCACTTGAGCTACAGCGCCACTTCTGGTTTTCTGGTGGTTAATTGTGGAGGTAAGAGTCTCATGGACTTTTCTGCCTGGGCTGGCTTTGAACCATGATCCTCAGATCTCAGCCTCCTGAATAGCTAGGATTACAGGCCTAAGCCACCAGTGCCCAGCTTCAAAAATATTTTTTATATTACTTTTGTAGAAAAAGAACAAGCAAATGCCCAACAAGGTGAAGTTTTTACCCTTGTCGGATTTAATGATCTGGCAATTCTTATTCCTTAATCTCCATTTTCTAAAAACTAACCACTATCAACAATTCTATTCCTTTGGGTTTTTTTTCTATACTGTGTATTCTACATGCTTAATTCTATTGTTTAATTCTATACATTACTTGCTTTCTTTCAAAAATACAATAAACATTCTTAAGATGTATTAAGTTAGTTAATCTTGAAAATATGCCTAAGCAGTGTGGTATTTTTTGTGCAGGTGCTAAAGTTTGAACTCGGAGCCTATTTAAACAATTTGTTTTTTCCCTTCCCCTCCACAAATTATACCAACATCAAATGCAGTGGAAAAAAGGAGTTATACGTGGGGGAGGGACATACAAAGCAACAAAGAAATCATCTTATAAATATGTTAGACACAATAGCAAGAAAGAAAAAACATTTGAGTCTTTAACTTGGGGTTCATTTCGCTTAACATCAATTTATCTGACCATTTCTGCTTGTCTCAGACATATACTAGTTATTGCAGATAAGGGAAACCATGGGACCTATGTTTCTTTGGGCCTGGCTTAGTTCACTTAATATAATTTTTTCCAAGTCTTTCCATTTCCTAACAAATGTGGCAATGTCATTCTTTCTGATGGAGGCATAGAATTCCATTATTTTTTCCACTAATAATTGTTTTTATGTGTGCCAGTCCGGGGCTTGAACTCATGGTGTGGGCACTGTCCCTGAGGTTTTGTGATCAAGGCTAGTGCTCTATCATTTGAGGGACAGCTCTACTCTCAGCTTTTGGGGAGAGAAAGAGGCAAGAGTCCCATGAAATCTCCTACCTGGAACAAGTTAGGATTACAGGTGTGAACCACCAACTCCTAACTACTAAATGTATTTTAAACATTAACCCAGTAAGTTTTAATTAAAGTTCAGTATTATAGGATCATGTCCTGTTGTCTTCACAAATGTGAGAAAGTCTTCAGGGCTCAGTCCCATGGTTGCACTGTTAGTCATTGGGTGAAAATACACCTTTTCATGTCCACCTTCCAGAAAAGCAGAATCCAAAACAAATTTCACATCTCCATCATCACAGAAGAGTGCTAGGGGTGTAGCACAACCTTGACCAACTTTTAGTTTTTCTAGCATGGCTGTTTCATCAGCAAACCGCAGATTTCCACTCCCAACACCTAACTGCTTGGCAAGATCATTTAAATTAATTTGCCGATCATGAAGAACTGTCACCAGCCAATAGCATTTTTTCTTTTTGTCTTTAAGAAATAGGTTCTTACTATGAGCTCCTTTCAAATGTTGGATATGAGGCATCATTTCTTCAACTGTAAACACCTATAAAAATATCACAAGATGAGTTTAGAAGCAGTGTAACATTCATGTACAACCACACATTTGTATGTATTTTGTTTGCTAGATAATAAGAGCAAGATGAAATCATACTTAGCCAATCACTAAATATATTTTAAAAAAAAACCTTTGCCATCAGTTTCTGATATCAGTTTCTTTCAGTGCAGGTTTTTACTGCTGTGTACAAACCATGGCGTCACATTCCTGGAAAACTTACATTTTTACATTTCAACTTTTTTTTTTTTT